GTGAACTACGCTAATTCTTATGAAAGGTTAAACAAGATGCGAAGTAATGTCTATATCGCCAATAGTGACATCATACACCATCTGTTTTAATACACCTTTATTTCATAGTTCCAAGCACCTAAAAATCCATATAATACTTACATCCTTATATACCCGTGCGACCGTATAGAATAAAAAGCAAGCTTTTATCGTGTGAGATACACGTTACGAAATCTAACGATATTTCTCCGAACCATTATCATCGTAATTGCAGATTAAATGATTTCACTAGTGTCAACAAAATATATTTCGAGTATTCTTCTTGACCAATAGTTCTAGTCTATTCGTTTCTTTAAACTGAACTGAAAATCAGTCCTAAGTTGTCATAAGTAAATCAAAAGCATTTATGGTTTTGACAAAATTCGCGTAGAACGATGCCACATGTACCGCTGCTGAGAAAATGATTCACTATAGTGGCGTAACTTATACGCATGTTAAAAGCGTAATTGGCAAGGAACGAGTAAAACTTAAAAAAAAAAATGAAGGTGAAGAAAAAAATATTTCTTTTATCAGTCGGAACTATATTTTGTCCGAACATAAATAACAATAAAAAAACCGATAAGATTGTCGATGCAATTCATTTATTTGAACCGCATACGATGCCTGATTACAATTGAATTTTATTATCGCGAAACGGCCTATAATCGGACGACTTGAGGATTAGCTCGGTTATTCTGTCATATTTAAATCAGATCGGTTTGTTTGTTCAATAAAGAGAAATGTGAATTATAAGTTACGCCACTAATCGAGCGAGGCGCGACGCCGTCGATTTATACCAATTTGAAATTCAATCAAATCGCAACGGCACTCATCAGAGATAATTTTTATCCTAAACGCTTCTGTGAAAAGAAAAATATGTCGCATTCGTTTGATGATCTGTATAATAGCGCATATGAATCGATTAATCGCGACGTCATAAGCATACGAAGGATATGGCCCGTCGTTGGAAAACACGTGTCAGCATATATGCATATCAATGAAGTTCTCCTTGTTCTTGAAAATTGTTCCCCAAGCGCCATATTTGTCATCCTTCCTCGGCGGTTGTTGTTGATAATATCGTGACTGTCGATTTTGCGATTCCTGTCGAGGTTGTTCCTTGTTTTTCCTGTGTTAGAACGTTCTCCAACGTTTATATACGTACAGTAACTTGTTAATAACTAATGTGCAATTATTATTATCAAGTTATAGCCACTAAATGTTAATACTATACATACTTAATATCTTGATAAGGCTCCTTAATCATGGCTCCGCTTACGTTGGTGTATACCATTTTTTCTCTTGTTTGTGAATTCCGATCGATGAACGATTTTATATTTCTCTCGTATCACCTACAGTTTTTGCCCGGACCAATCGAGATTAATCTGCCCCAACGATAAACAATGGCTCGGAGGTAGTTAAACTTGCTGTTTGATTCTATCGGTCGCCGCAAACACAGGATCACCGAGCGATTTTACCTCTGCGGAATGGAAATATTCGATTTTTATTCTTATATACACTTCTAAAGAAAGATCTCTCGAGGCCATATATTACATACTCTATGGTACGTGATGCAAATGGACCAGAACTAATAATTCAAGTCGATTCCCGGCGTTGCCTCGTCGACTTCCCTTACGAGTTCGAAGGTTTTTGGCTAGCCTGTAGAAAATGCAAAAATATAAATGACGTAAAAGCTCTAATCAAATATGGCGGAGTACATATAATAACGGTAGAAGCGTAATTTTTTCAAAACTTTTCAAATGATCAGATTTTGTTGTTTGGTAGTTCGCAGACTTTGTCATTGGTGCAATAAACGAAGCATGAATCAATTGAAACATTCGATCTTTAGAACACAGAGAAATTTAGATTCATAACATTTCGGTAATTTGAACTCTACACTATCAATTAAAATTCGCGACTACCGAGGTATGTGCAAAAGTAGTTAGAACCTGATGACTTCAATTCCTTGTTGCGACTTCCGTCTATGGAAAGTTTACAGCAGAGTTCAGCAAGCGATGCACTTTCCAGCCTATTTTCGGGAGGCTCTGCCTCGCATTGTTTCCTTTGTCTCGTCATTTCGCGCGCAACCTATAAACCACTCGAGTATCAGGAGCGTGGGCATCACATAGAAACCGTAGAAGGGAGAAAAACAGAAAATTTGATCTTTTGTTAAAAATACTATATCTCTTATTAAGTTTTCATTTTAATTATAAATATTTGTTTTCAATAGTTTCCAACGTCGCCTATGAGGTGCTACTGCTGTTTTAAATAGTATCCCTAATAAGTTCTGCTAATAACTAAAAAGACTAACTGATTGGACAGAAGCAGAATGTTGTTCGTGTATATATATTATATACTTCTGCTTATTCTGCTTTTGTCTAGTCAGTTTTCTTAGTTATTTAGTGGACTAGGTTTACTGAGAACATCATATAAAAAAAAAAACACGTCAGCAATAGTATCTCATGAGTAATGTGAAAAATTGTTGAAAATAAATATTCACGATTAAAATAAAGATTTAATAAGAAATATAGCATCTTTAAAACAAGATCCACAGGTCTCCTGATTTTTCTCTCCTCTATGAACTCCGTAGCATGATATACCATGGTAACCATGCTCCGGAGACTCGAGCGGTTCGTAGGCTGCAAGAAAGGCGACGAGGCAAAGGAAACAACGTGAGGTGGATCCTTTCGAAATTCGGCTGGAAAGTGCATCGCTTGCCGAGCTCTGATTTATAGGATCGTTACACATATATTTATAGGATAGTTACACATTCAATTCTCATTATGCCTCTTTCATGCTTTTTCGCTACTTTAAGTTTCGAACTTTCGTATTCTTTATTTATTTATTATAACATAATAAACGTTTCGAGATCCAATTTGAAAATATGTGTGAGGAAAATAGTGGACAAGTATACATATACATACGCGCACGCATACAAACTGAATGCGAGTTTTTATACATCTGTCGACGGAATGTAGGTCGACACAATAACGTGTATTAACGTGTATTGAAATGAATAACTTTTCATAATAATGTGTGTCAAATCGAGTGAGAAGCGATGGGGAATAAATAGTAAATGAGAAATTGCAGGAGCTAACATTGCATTGACACACCTTGCTGAGCTCCGAACGAGATCAAAAAGAATTCGTTAAGCTTATGATCGACCATCTAGGATGGTTGACGTCGAGGACGGACGATTGAGCGAACATATCTGAGCTTTACATGATCAAAGTAACAAACGATGGATCCGTAGAAAGAAGGATCGAGAAATCGATCGATAAGTGCCGTGCGGAACCTGTTTGGCCACAGCTTCCGATGCTTACCTGACGCTGGGTAAGAACGTTGGGGAGTTGCCTTGACAGTCTAAGACTTTGCACCTCATCGACACATAGGTCTTAACGATCGCTGCGGAACACTTCGCTCTTAATTCCGTGATGGAGGTTTCGCGTCGATTCAATACACTCCACGATTTGCACAATGAACGTATGATGGATTCGGACTGAGGTAGCTAGACACGTCTACTCTCATCGAAATTTAGAAACGAATGTCGCGCAGACTCTCATTCAGGAATACTGCTGGTTCTCCGTCGATCCTGTCGTTCTTACATAGTCCCTGGCTGTCCCCTTCTTCGCTCATTGACCACTGTTGAGTGGGGACAACGTGGCGACTTAGTGGATGCAATCGATGTCCACATGTTCGAGCGAACGATGCAAACGATAACGGCTGTTGTACTTACCATTAATTATCTTCTGTTAATTGCGCCGGAAACTACGTCAAATTCGAAAGAGACGAAGGACTGCTGATTTTCCGATTATTAGAACGACGAACTGACGATCGAAAATCGCTTCCTTTGTTAAGGCTTGATTTCGTCAAGAATTCGACAGAGATTGTACTGACATTTAAAGTCCATATCACCGTATGTCGTAATCACTACACCTGCCTTCTCTCTGCGATTACTTTTATAATTTCGTTCGTTTCTTTTCCATGTAAGGCGGAAAGAACGACTCACTATGAATGAACTTGTATATATGTGTTGCGTTTGCAAAAAATAAACTATTTTAAAATTCGCATTATTTTTTTTATTTCTCCCTCGGTTTTTTCATGATTTATTTAAATAAAAATCCAAAAACGCTGGATCCTGATTTGAAATATCAGGAAGCAATGTCCTTTATTATATCATTTTGTTGGTTGAAAATATCCTGCACTTCGTTTTTTAACCCGGAAATAGTCATCTTTTTTTACATAAACGATCACGAACACTCGATATACTTATTCCGTTTCTTAAATATTTCTTGGTTTCTCCTCATTCTTTCAAAAAGTAGCGAGTAAATCTATATTTATAATGTTCCTAAATAATAATAAATCATAGAGCAATCGATAATATGCTATATTTTGTTAATAATAGCGACTTTTAATTGAGTCTGAACGACTCCAGGTGACTATTCCCGAGTTGAAGAATATCGCGTGTACATATTTCTAGATAGCTAAACTTGAGAAGCAGCTTGCTGGTAGAAATACAACAGGATCTGATGACAGAGAATGTGAAAACAGGCTGGCGGCAGAAGCCAGACAGGATCTGTCATCCCAATATATTAAAAAGGAACATATTGCAGATCCTGCTCGCTTTCTGCCGTCAATCTGTCGCCAATCTGTCGTCAGATTTCTAACAGATTGCTTACTGGATTATAAATGACGGGAATATAGCATTTGTTATATTAGCATTTTGATATACTCATTAATAATTCATGAACTTTATAAAGAGATTGCAGCAATAACGTAATTGACTGACAGACGAATTTGCGCTGTATGTGTGCGTTATGTGAGCGCATGTGTGAAAAAGCTTTTGATAGCACAGTTTCAAAAACCGGCTAAAGCAATTCAGTACCTTAAAATAGATACACGGAATATTTAATGATAATAAGAACAGGAAATGGAAGAAGACAGAATATTTTCTTCGTCGAGGGGACTTACAAAAATAACTGGTCTTTCTCAACAGGTTTTCTCTAGTTCACATTCGAAGTAACAAATTGCATGCTACATCTCGCACACTTGAGATAAAATTTGATGAAAAGTCGAAATATGTATCTATCCAAAGGCGAATATATCGTTGGCAACAAAAAAAATAGCCTTTGATCTTCGTTGGTAAGACAAGAAATATCGCCGGAAATATGATTCTCGAAAGTATTCACCCTCCTTCCGAGAGATTCACGATGATATAAAAACGAGGGATAATGTATCCGCAGTCAATGGTCTAAAGATTCGGTGGTCTCGCGCGCGTCCGACGATGTTAAAAATAAGTTTCAACGCGCTCGCGATCCAGCCAGGCACGATTTTTGCCTCGACATGTCTTCGAAGACGTACTTCCGTTTCTACGCTTCACGTGAAGCAAAAACGATACGTCGCGCATTCTCCTACTTTCTCTTTTTCTCTAATGTCGGAGTAACAATCTTGCAGATAAGATTTGTATATAACGAAACTTTTCATCCTTTTTCTCCATCAAACATGAAACAGATTGTGCCTCTTATATAAAAACAGGTCTCGAGACAGAAACAGCAAAAAGCTGCATTTCCGCGATAAATAATTTGCGCTGTCATTTCTCACGTTGAGACTTTTCACCGGTTATAGCCGGGCAACCACCGCGTAAGCAATATGTACGTTCTTTTTTTCTGCCAATATGTATATTTTCACGATAACGTGGTCGCGTTAGCGCCGTGCCCACCGCGAGATAAATTATACATTCTCAGGGAAAATAAGAATCTGCGCGTATAGCTTGCAGTTTAAGGTAAACTAGAATCTGATGCAACATCGATTCTCCGTGTCGTCAGGACGCGCATCGGATCACAAAATTCCTCCCCGTCGCCGTCGCTAACGTTACACGTTGGAAAGGTTTAACAGGAGAGCGCGAATCAAGTACAAACGATAAGAGAAGTAAACATACGGCGAGTTTAATTCGGAATTCTATAAAATTCTTTCTAACGTTTTCCGCCTGTATTAATCTTTTCAGTTGTCTCTTCGCAGATTTAGCCAATAGAATGAAATTAAAGTGATCGGAAAAAATTCCCTACTTAAAATATAACAAAGATGAGATTTAGTTAGCTTCTGTAGTTTAATCTAGTGCTTAGTTTTTATACGATCTTCTTTCATAAGGGACGATTATTGGAAAGATTATTTGATAGTTTGGATGGATTACAAAGCAATACGAGATAGTGTTTCTATTGGAAGAGAAATTATGATCTAGGACGGATTATACATGAACATAGTAGCTTTTACCGCGCGCACGCGCGCGAACTCAACATTATTATAAATTTATATTATAATCAAAAAGAGAAAGATCCATTACAATACATCTGTAATTAAATATATTCATTTAACCACGTCACAACCGACATAAAACATATATGTACAAACTTAGTATAACAATTATCTAGCTAACAGAAATGCTAGAACTTTTTACAGCTGCTAAACTAATTAAATTATTCGAATTCTCAACCAATTCAGCAATACTGACTCTACCACGTTGTCGTACAAATTTAACAACCGCCTGAAGTTCATCCTCTGAGATATAAATAAATTTTCCTCTATCATCAATTACTCCGGTTAACTTATCATTTGCTTGCAATTCTTGAATTCTTTCTATCACGCTAGTTGTTTTCAAATTGAAATGCGCAGCTAGATCTTCCAAAACCAATACCTTGTTCTGTTTTATATATTCGATAAATTCTTGCAATAAGTTCTCCTTGTGTTCTTTGTTTTCCTCCTGGTAACCTTCCTCTTCTATACTAAATGCTTCTTTCATCCTCAAATATTCCTCATGCTCTCTCTTCTCTCTGTCCTCTCTAGCTTTCTTTTCTGCTTCATCTACGCGTAATTGCTCTGTACGTTCTCTCTCAGCCTGCTTATCTTTTTCTTCTTGAACAAGTTGTTCTCGCTTCTTACGCTCTTCCCTGTCTCGTTCAGCTGCCTCTCTTTGCAACTTCTTTTCTGCTTTGGCTGCCAACTTTGCTCGCTTTTTTGCTCCTATTTTATAATCCGGTAATTCTGTTTTGTCTCCCGTATCTTCATTATCTTCGTCAACTATTCTGTTGTCCTCCTGATGCTGTTGATAATTAATATTTCCCTGCATACGAAGCCTGGCATTTCTAACACCAGCTGCTCTCCTTACCGGTCGACCTTGCGCTATAGCATTTTCAGCATTAGTTTGCTTTTCTTGAATACCTAAATGATAAAATAAAATTTATTTAACTTTGTCCACCTATCTTAACACGTAATGAAATTATGATCTAAGACGAAGATAGAGAATTATGATCTAGTGACGAACATGAAGAACTATAATCTAGTAGCTCTTTGTGATAGCCCAGATATTGAAAATTTTGCTTGGAAAAACTTATTACTTCAACTGGTAAATAATATAACTCGTAAAATTTTCACAAAATTAGCAGTAGGAATTAATCGACTGTCAAAACAGCTGTTTTCAAAGTTAATTTATAGGTTAAGACACACAAGTATGGTATGGTACAATATGCATAATACGTAAAGAAATATATATTATTGTGTTTGGCTTATGAAAAGGCTATTATAAAGCATTAACATACCAGATCTGTATTGCAGAAAAACAGTGCATATAATAATTAGAGCAACGATCGCCGAAGCGACAAGTACCAATAACGTCATGTCCATTCTCTCTTTCTCTCTCTCTTAGTGTCGATCCACAATAGGTATTTTAAGCCTTAAGCCTTAAGAAATTGACCAATCACAGTTAATTATTCTCTTCATATTCAACTGTGATTGGTCGATTTCTTAAGGCTTAAAATACTTATTGTGGTCCAACACTTACTAATAATTTCGGGAAGTTCGGCGGCGTTCCTCTTACACTATTGCAGTATCTTTTTATTTGAACATATAAAAATTCTTTTCATACGTTTTCTTGTTTCTGACATCACCAAATAAGGACAGTTGTAGTGAGGAACCAGGAGCCTTAAATGGAAATTGGAGCATTTGTAAATATTAATAAGTATGACAGAGATATATTTTATAAGTGAGAAGAGTTATTATTTCATTTTTACAATCATATTACATCTCACATTATATTCATTATACAATCACAAGCAATTTATCAATTGCTTAAGGTAACTGAGTTTTATATAAATGTGTTTAAAATAGCTCATTATATAATATATTGAACAATTACTTGTAATATAAATTTTGTTTAAAGCTACACAAATAAAATTTTGTAGTTTAGATGATATTGTTGTTGTTTAAACATATTTTATCATATTGATTAAACTAATTTCTTTGCTTCGAAAAAGCTTTTGAGATGCTTCATTTGCCACGCACCCATAATTATGACAACTGCAGTCTGCGTAAGGGACCACCAGAACACACGGCGATGAGTGCTTTCTGAAGTTTGCCTAAAGCGTTCTTCTCGATACTGAGAAATATAAAAATATTTAAAATAATTTTATAATAATTTTAACACGTTGACTGCCACGGAACTTTTCACGATTCTGGTCTAAGAAGCCAATTTGATTTAATCAAGTAATGAAGCGACGAGATAATTCGTAGTTGGCGTCCTGGGCAAGTAAACAACCTACGAGATATCTCGTAGTTGGCAGTCAACGTGTTAAATAATTCAATAGTCTACAAAAATAATATTATTTAAATAACAAAAATAATATTATTCCATTCACATAATAATTATTATGAAAACAAAATATTATAATACTGCACATTTTGTGTTTTATTACCCTTTGATAATTTTGTTCCTTAGTTATTTGCCCAACTTGGTCTAGGAGTTGGCGTATTCTAAGTTGAAGTTCTGATAATTTTTCTTTCTGTGCCACATTAGCATAATCAATTGCATGTTCTCCTACTTGAATATCAAGATGCACCCTCTGAAAAAAAAAACACAATTATATTGTATTTATATAATGATAGGATTTGTTTTTCATTTTATTTTCCATTTTCTTATCTGTCAATTCAATATGCAGGGGTCCGACGCAACGCGTACCAATTGTCACATATTTGTAGTTTAAGTCAATGTAAATAAAAAAATCCTGTACCATTTTGCAAAATTTCGAGTTATTAATAACTGAAAATGACTGTTTATAGAGGCTTCTTTAATAATTCAAAAATTTGTATTTTTTTTTTGCCAAATAGTAAAGGACTTTTTTGTTCAGAGTAGCCTAATCTACAAGTATATAATAGCAGTTGTATCTAACGACAAACAATATATTAAACTTTAAATTTCGAACTTGTAGAGGATTGTTTTGTGTACATTAATCTAAACTACGTGACAGCTGGTACGTCTTACGTCAAACAACTTGTATAATATATATAATACACGAGAGTAAATCAGAATATAAGTCTCCTCATTTTTTTGTAGGAGAATTGGAAAAAGATACGAAAAGATAAAACACATTTTGTTTGGGCATTATTTCTTTATTTTTCGAGATAACCACCAAATTTGTTCAAACGTTTATCATAGCGTACAATTATATTTTCCATATCCTAACGATATGGAACAAACTGGCGGCGGCTTCGGTACTTGTCTGTTTGTTAAGGCTCCTTATTGCTGTAACTGTTCTTATTTGATGACGTCAGAAACGAGAAAGCACATGTCAAAAATTCTTGCATTTTACGTTCAAATAAAAAGATATACTTATAAAATGACATTTGTGACCGATACAGTACACTTGTAAAATTGTCTGTAACTAACTAATAAACTTTTCTTTTATTCGAACAATCAATAAACAGCTGCAAAATTAATTAATTTGACACGGAATCATTCATTTTAACCTCTTTTCTCGTGATTTTGTCAATGTTAATTTTACGATTATTTATTGCTTGTTCGAATAAAAGAAAAGTACGCGGACAATTTTATAAGTGTACTGAATCGATCACAAATGTCATTTTGTGAGTATATTTTTTTATTTGAATGTAAAACGTAAGAATTCTTGACATGCGTTTTCTCGGTTCTGATGTCATCAAACAAGGACAATTGTAGCGACTACACAGGAGCTTTAAGATTCACTACATCATCTTTGACAGAATCTATCCCGCAGATGTTTTTCAGTCTTCCAAACAGGTAAAAGTCTGAAGGCATCAAGTCCAAACTATATGGTGGATGAGGAACATGTTATCAATGCCAAGTGTCTAGCAGGACACTTGTGTTATGAGCAACATAAGGCGTCTTCCAATTTTCAAATATTTGGAAAACTGAAAAACATCTGCAAAATAGGTGATTTTCAAGTGACGATTCTGTTAAAAATGAAATAGTAAAATTAGCAGAATTCCAGTTTCTATTGCCAGAATATGAAAAATCTAATTGTAAACTATGATAAATATCTGAAAAAATTAGGTGGTCAAAGAAAAGGAATGGTGCTCAAAGAAAATGTACTTTATCTTATTGTATCTTTTCCTATTCTATTACAAAAAATGAGAGAAACTTACTTTCTGTCTTGCCCTCATATGTTCATGTAAAGTACATATACTTTACCAATTGACTACCACTGAACCATGAACTACTATTAGAGTATAAGCAGATAACATGTTCTCCTGGTGTATGCGAGGTAAAAGAGATTCGTCCTTCAGAACTATAAACTCTGGAAAGTATAGGTTTGTCATCTGAATCTTTTACTTCAACATGCATTCCAATGCCAGGACTGCTTGGCATAAAGCCTCCACTTCTGGGATCATAGAGTTCTACTTTGTAATTTACTGTAAAGTTATAAAAAAATGTATTATGGAAAGTTATTCTTCTTCTTCTAAGTCCTATTGCTTCTTTACAGAAACGTGGTGACCTCTCTCATATGCCTGTGGTGCGCACGCTGATTGTACACAGGCATATGGGACCTACAGTTTAACGCCGGTTCCGAACGGCATATTATTTAGAGAGATGCTCTTGGCAAAGATACTCTCGGTGGCTTGCCATTGTCTTCCGAGAAGAAACATGAGCGCAAATATTTTTGGTTTCGACCGGGATCGAACCCGGGACCGCTATTAGTATGGTAGACCAGTGTGCTGTCTGCCATGCCATGCTCGCGCTCTCAAAGTTATTCACATACAGGTTGTTTCTATTTACACGAAAGACATTCCTTCCATTGGTTTTTTGTTAATTTGACTTATTGAGCAAGTTACCAGAAAAAAATTACCCATGTTATTGTATACAACAACATAGTAAAGTAGATCTGTTCTTTAAAGATACATTAAGTTACAGCATATTTGCATTTAAAGTAGATATATAATCAATACTTGGTATGAGAAACAAGAAAATAGGAAGATGACAAGATAAATCAGAATATATAGTTGCCCAAATAGCCAAATCTGTGCAGATTTTGAGCAAAGCCTGCTAAAAATTTTTGATGACAGAAAGATAACAAATCTAACACAGGTTCTGTTCTATCACATTATATTACCAAACTACTGCCAGAAATGCAACACAGCCTATTGACAGGCAATGCGAGCAGATTAGTAGCAGAAACCGAATAGAGCCTTTAACGATCTGATGGCAGACTGGTATAAAAAACCAAGCATATCTTGTTGCAGAAAGTTTGATGGCAGGTTCTATGCAGTTTCTACTGCCAATCTGCTCGCATTGTCTGTTAACACGCTCTGTCGCTAAAATACGAGCTGAATGCAGACATAGATGGTTATAGTTTTGATAAAGGATTCTGATCAATTTGCTGCCAATCTGTACACAGTCTATAATCAATTTGTTTACAGGGTATAAAGGATTTAATATAAGTGGGAATATGAGAATATGTATGGATATGTGTGTGTGAGAAAGAGAGAAAGAGAGAGAGAGAGAGAGAGAGAGAGAGAGAGAGAGATACAATATAAATATATGCTTACAAATATACAGATCAACGTAATGGCTTCAACACATGAAATTACACTTTTCTAAAAAATATTTATAGAATATTCTAAAATATAAATTTACGACTATTATCATGTATACTATCATTATTATGTGATACACTGATCTGTATACGATAGCATCAGACGGATTTACCATTCTAATTAAAAAATTCTAATTTATATGGATAATTACAGGCGGTGGATCTAATTTACCTAAGACTGTAGTATCATCGGGTATTTCCTCGATGAAACATTTTCGCTCTGTCTCACCAATGTGAAAATACAAACCGGTCCCGAACTTGAAAGTATATAAAAACAGGATAAAAAAACATGCGTATTTTAACATATTTCGTACGGTAGAGTACAGATGAAGCGATCAATGATAACAGTGATACTAAAATTGTTAAGTTAGATCGTTAACATTAACACAACCTGCGCATACATGCCAGATGGAGCACACACGTCACCTCGATCATTGGTTTGTTCTTTTTAGCAGAAGCTGGCTGTATTAAGCCAGAGATGCTTGTTTTCGTGTTGGATTGCTTGCTAGATAGAAATACGTTCTAATTGATGCATTTCCAAAAATAGATGACAATACACCAATCAAAACGCAGTATTTCCTGCAGACAATCTAATACGAAAACAAGCATCGTGTGTCGCTGGCTTTAGTTTAACAAATTTACGCACACTAATGGCTTCTGCCCACAGGACGCGGCAACGGTTGCCGCGCGGCAGAAGTTGCGTAATAGCCAATCAACGTGCCGTTCTTTGTTAAAAACTAAAAGTTTATTGGTTACCGTCATTAAAGGTGCGTTCAAAGAGAGCGCTATTAGCGCTGAGCGGCGCTAATAAATTATTCTATCCTTGTCGTATATCTAAATCCTAATCTACAATAGGTGCTTTCAGTTTTAAGCCTTAAAAAATAACCAATCATAGTCGGATGTACAAAGAAAGTCAATTTCTCAAAACTTACACCTTAAATTCTCATTGTAGACTCCGCTTAAGTTCTAGTCTACGATTGATGCTTTAAGCCTAAGGTGGTCAAGCAGAAAGACTTTAGGTACCGGTCGATGGGAGTGGATGTGTGCTAACGTATTATAAATACGTTCTTTTATTCGCAATAGATATAGTTGAATACATCTCGTAGATGCATCAAGATTTCACTTTTTAAAGTTACTAGCTAGGAACAATAATGTTTCTAGAAAACATATTCTCTTATCGGCTATCGGATCGTTCGAAATTGGACCTCAATATTAATCCCTCAGTATTATTGAAGGAGCGTAAAATAACAAAAAGTATTTTTTTAGTCTGCAAAAAGTAATACCAAATAATATATTTTAAAAATGTCATTAATTGAAATTAAGAAATAAATGTCATTAATTGAAAACAATATTATATTTAAAAAATGTCATTAATTGAAATTCACTTTATAAATGAAACATGGCCAGTTGTTAGAGACTTCATATCATGTACATTATACGAAAAATTTAGCAATTGTTAACTATATAGGAATTTTAAATAATAAAAGTTTCTCATGTTAATTTACAAGTAATGTTGATACAAAATCCTCGTATTCATCATCAGAGGATGAAGAGTTTTCAAAAGCTATTTGAGATATAATTATTGCAAGAACTTCCTATTAAACTATTTAACTTCCTAATTTATAGCGTGTTACATTTAAATACATTTAAATGAACCAATAGATTCTGCTTGATTTTTGCCATCAGTCTGTCATCAAATCTTGTTGTATTTCTGCACAAGCTGCTTACAGAGTCTGCAGCAGACATTGTGCAAAAATCAGCTTTTGCAGGTTTGACTATCTGAGATAAATTATGTAATCTTGTTTTAAATTCCTTTATTACACTTTTCATCAGTACACATCTTAAATTGGTTTACATATGTAAAGTATTATGTAGTTCACAACGCTTTGCAAAAGAAAAGTTAATGTAGTAAGTTACATATTAGTTGTTAAAACTTATAAAAAAGTGTTTGTATTAATAATGTACACATATATAATATTGGTTATTGATCAAATAGAAGATATTAGCTATACTAATATAGCTATACTATACTAATATAGCAAATAGAAGATATTAGCTATACTAATATAGCTAATTTTTTTTAAATTCTTGCTGCACTATTTATGAGGCTATTTATACGTTGTATGAGATTTTAATTATTATAATTCATACATTGTTCCTCCTAATAACTCATAATAATTCTAATTTCTCCTTTTCTATACAGTTGATAGTGCAGCTTCTGTGTAATGTAACATTGCATACATGTACATACATCATTTTTCTTTCATCCTAGAGTTTTGTATTATATATGAGAAGCATACATATATAAATATTGAAAGTGGGATTCGCGGACATTAATTTCCATCTAAAGAATTCAAATTATTTCCACACTTAGCAGAGTATATATCATTAGAATTGTTTTTCTAACTAATAATAATATGTAACTTATAAGTAACAGAATGAGAGAAAATCAGTCTTCTTCCACATTTGCCAATTCTTCTTTTTAGTTTAGAAGCATAATTGTTGAAAGATAAAATACATAGCAAAATCTATAATTTTAATATAACCTGATCCACTCTCTGTTTTATATTTTATTTTGGAAGAACAAACGCATGAAATTACGACACGATATTGTACCAGGAAGATACAAAACTTTGTCTCAATACACGTATCAAAACTTCAATGTTCAAATATAACTTTGCAATGTCACCGAAATGATTTGTTTCTATAATCGTTATTTGGCATCTTCGCGTGTCGTTTTATAACTCGAAAAATTAACGTTCTTATTATTATTTTAAACTGGCAAAATATACTGACTGACATATATTATTATCCTGAACACGAATAGTTGGTTCACAGGATATTTGTCACTACGTGTTATTACTACGATATTCCCCTATTGTTCTCAAGCTTCATAATATTGTGAACTATGATTTTATTTGATGCAATAATGATTTCTACGCGCCACTCGTCGTGAACACAATTTCTCATAATCTCATGTATCGCTTATCAGTCGCACATTGCTGAATCTTCATAACATGTATCTATATCCTAAAGTCAATCGCTTAAGGATAATGTAAATTTGAGAAACTGTATAGTATGTGTGTATGTGTGTGTGTGTGTATTACTCGTAGTCATACATTGTTGATACGAAACGCTCAGAAGTTGTTCACCGTTATACTACTTGTCTACTTCTTACGTTTAGTCTTACGTCGTCTGCAATCTCCTCTAAAGGAGTTTTGATCCCCTGATGTATTAGCACTGCCAGATTTGCTATGGTTGTAGAGATTATTCAGAAAGTCCTCGATATCTGCTTCGCTATTTCGTGAAAACAAACAAATTATTACTTTAGAACAAATTATTGCAAAGATAACAATAAGAAGTCAATGTTCGGGTGGATCGGCGTGTTTTTTTCGAATCGAATCGTTGATTAAATTCGACCAAAAACCAATCCACTCGACATGCCTAAGTTAGTCGCGTGACATAGCATACCTCGTATTTGGATCTATTTGTTGTCGCTTTTTACCGCTATTGGATGTTTGAGATGGTAATCTTTGCCCTAAGACGATTCTATACTGGACACTATGTGTGTTTGCTCTAAGATGCTTGAGATTCCCGGCCTGGCAAGCCGCCCACTCGGTCACATCATATACCGCCCCTTCCATGCACGCGTAATAGTGCCATCGAAAACCCATTAAACGAGACTCCGCCCAGATATCTCCCTGTGGACAATGTGTTTCAGTTTAGGTAACAGACATCAGGCTACTAAACACGCATACATAAGAAGGTCAATGCAACATTTACCTCTTTCGCGCTGTGACGTATTTTACATTGGGCGCAAAACCGTGCGGCATAACAGGGACGTTGTGTAGGAATACGTTTGTGTCTCGAACCACAATTTGTACATCTTATGGTATTTGCCGCCTGCTCCATCTTTCGATGAAGCTGAGACAACAAATCACTGAGTTCGCCCCATGCTGCTTCAACTTGTCTAGTCTGGTCAAATGCCTGTCTTCGTTCCTAAAATAGCGCGCATGTTTCAAATACACGTGTTATAAATTTGCACTTACGAATAAAGGAATTAATTCCTGACACGTATGACTTTATCACATGTTATAAAAGATTAAATGATTACCGGTTCTCCGATGATATCGAAGGCGTGTACGAGAATTTTGAACGCCTCTTCAGCTCCAGGCTGATTATTTTTGTCCGGATGGACTAAGAAAGCTTGCCTTTTATAGTATTTCTTGATATCATCATCCGAACACGTGGGTGTAACGCCAAGTATACTGTACGGATCCTTTCCCTTGCAAGCCAGTAATCTCTTCATGGCTTCTTCGCCAGTACTAGGTAATGCAATATTAGTTTCCAACCCGCCGTGAATCCAATTGCCATTGTCCTCCTTCTCTTCGCTTTTGGTATTTATCTTTCGCCAAAACGCAAACTTACTGCTTCCAAACCAGCTATCCAGTTGTTTGCCGATGGCATTTAGAACGCGAATTTTACAAAATGTCACAGCCATATATATCCACCAACCCTTTAAATAAAGTATGCTATGGTACCAAGCCCATTTACCGCTGTAACAACATATTAAGAAATAGAAAATTGCCCACAAATAATACCCACATACGTTTGTGTTCAAAATATGACAAGAGTTTACTGTATCAATGTATACTTACAGCTGTACAACGAGATTAGCGCTCATGCTAACTACGTCAGAAACTAGATGTAATAGCCAATAAAAGATTTTCAATACAACTTTACTCCAGCGTGTGGCATATTTATTTAAATTTTTACATAAATCCTTGACAGGAGATTCTCTATTTTCTCTTCTTCTGTTTCTCTGCCCTTTCTTAATTTGCTGCGCCTTCTCAGCCTGAAAGCGTTTAGGATTCTTCTCCTTGACTACTTTCTTATCCTCTTTACTGAACTTGTTAATAACTTGCTGGTTCTTCTCGATCTTCTCCGGAGAGACCGTCTGACTGGAGGTGTTAATTGTACTCAAATTGTTGTTTATCTGTATCGGACGTTTCGGAATATTCCCAGCAGCTTTTGGATTGCTATTTTGTATCTTAGTATTGTTAAGGGTCTCGTTCTTTTCCGTTTTCTTAGACGGTTTCACGGTTTTCTTCTTCTCGAAGTGATCGGACCTGTCGAAGGTATTTATCTGACGCGAGTCGGACTGCGAGCCGAGGTTGTCCAACGACACCCAACGTCTTGGAAGATTGGAGGAATTCTTTTCTAAAACTTTTCTAGGGATCTGTATTTTCGGGGAGTTGTGATCGTCGCTGCCGGACGAATTTTGCCGTTTCAATAGCGCAGGTTTATTCTTACTTTTGGAGCTCTTATTGGAGACCTTCTTGCCAGTAGTTTCGATTTTCGGCTTCATAGACTGTACTGTTAACGGAGATGGTGGAGTTGGCGCAGATTTCGTCAATACGTCCGAATAGGACGGTCGCATAGGTTTTACCTCCGCCACCATCCTCGGTTTCTTGTATTGAGAGTCCGACATATTTCTAGGTAGTTCCTCCGTCTCTCTCATGTCTGGTACAGACTGTGGTACAGGCGTGATATTGGGAGACCCACCGAACGGGCTATACGTTCCGGATTGATTCGGCACCCAGTTTCCAACTAGATTGTCAATCAACTGTTTCCCATTGAAGTGTTGACTTGGCAACTCAGACGGTACAGGCATATGTTGATCGTTAAAAAGACCGTACTCTTGATTAACCATGCTCTGATTGGGATAAGGTGCCATGTTTGAGAGTTGACATTGCTCGGCCATAATTTGGGAAGCGTTTCCGTAAATAACGTTGATATAGTTGCCTCCTCCAACATCAATGGTGCCAATGAGATCGTTATTCTCATTAATACCCAAATGATTCACTGTCTGTGGCGGAAAATATATTGAGTCAGTAGCCGTGGAATCATAACCAGGCATATCTGGCATGTACAGAGAAGTGGTCATTGGTGTTATTGGCTGTATTCCAGATGGATTAGAATGTGCTGGTTGCCCAGTTGCGATGTGATGTCTAGTCTGACCGGTAGCATAATCACCCCAATTATGAGAGGTCGCTTGCTGCGGAGTAACACCAAATTGAACATAAGGACTACTCGAATTCTCCAGCTCTGCAGTCATAGCTTCGATTATTTTATCCAAGGACATATGTTTAATACCAGGAGGTGATTGCTGCTGTTCCGCCATGTTGATATTAGTATCTGAAGAAAAGATAAATGTGTTATCAATCTGATACAATTTTGATAAATATCTAAAATTTACTTAATAAAATGGCAAAATGGATAACGTTGCACTTTAAGAAACTTTATGTCAAAAGACAGAATAAACATAGTGTGTTGATTGTAACATAAGGATTTTAAGAATTTCAACTGCTTAACTCGTGTGCAAAACGAGATGTTATAAAAGAATGGCATCTAACAACTTTTATCCACAGTAACACAAGCAGAATGCCAGTCATATGTTTTAAAAAAATGTCTGCTACTGTATTGTTCACATAACCATAGCTGTACCGAGAGTGTTAAGTAACGTCCGCCATTAACGTGCAACTTAAAAATATTCAGCAACGAGCCGGGTACAGTTGTTTCACATTGGCTGAGGCAAATTCGTATTAAATGATTGCTATCGAGAGGAATTCCGTTTAAAATTCCATAACCTAAAATGAATGCCAGCAGACATAAAGGCACAGAACTCACATTCACCAACGAGTTAATCTTTTTCACGTCGCTATCTCATATCCTTCATTTAACACACTCTGCATTAATAACAAAAGTTCATATTTATATAAGATACATCGTTTTACGTTATATACCATGCGGTAAGCAGAGAACCAGACATATTCGCATTCTTTGATATTGTCCGCAATTCGCACAGAATAATCAACAATCATGATACACGAATAACCAGAAGGGACGCGTGTGATCGAAAATTTCTAATAATATAATCGACTTGCGATTGCGCGGCGAATTGTAGCAACATTCGCGAATCAAAATTTATCGGCGAATGTTACCTTTCTAGTTTCCCATCATTTCGTGACATTATATCTTTTTCGCTCGCTCCCCGTATGCACTGCGCATTCGGCTCGCGCAATCTCCGCCGAGACGAGCCCTGTTTCGGTCGCCACTCTTCACTCGATCGGCCATGATCCTGAACGCCGTGTCAAAAGCAGTCGCTGGGGCCTTGAGGGCTTCCAAGCCCTCCCTCCTGCAAAATGAAGTGGCGAAGGTATCGGGCGCCCTTGCTGTCAACAGTGAGTACGCGTTTCGCAATTCAACATTGTGGAAAACTAGCTGAATATTGCTGACGAACGCTACCCCGTATACTCCTTGTCTGTCGTCTCTCGATCTTCGTCCTTTACCTTAATGAAGATACCTCTCGAGAAGATTTAAAGCTGTCATTCGTTCTCGATCGTCTCAGGTTTTAACACAAATTATTCGACTCGATAAAACCGTTCATTTAATGATTATATAATCGCTGATCGATCGCCGCAGGTTTTACTTGCCAACATGGCGGCACGAAGACACGTTCGTTCATTGCGCCTGGATTAGTGATCTGGTTATCTTGCGTATAATCACCGATGCAACCGCTGTTTTTTCGGAGGATGAGCGAAGAATACTTCACTATGTAAAATTTCCTACCTCACACAGTTTACTTGTTGCTTGATTACAATTTTTACGAAAGTTAATTTTACTCCTTACTCCCTCACTTTCCTCTATATTCCATTATTTGAGTAATTTATATCAGAGAATGTGATTCAAAATGATGATGACACAAATTATATAGTACGTTACGCTAATTAAAATATCGATAGAAAAACCAAAGGACTGATTTATCACAATGGTCATATATATATTTTTATGTTATGTAATATATTATAAACTCTCTTGTCACTCTTGCAAAGATACTCGAATGTTTCAAGACTTCTTAATAAAGATACATAGTTCGCACATCTAATTATATATGCCGGATTTTTCTCAATTTTTAATCTTTAATATAGAAAAGGATTATGCATCCAAAGCTGCGGCCACATCTAAGGGTAATGCGCAAGGAAAGGTAGTTGCTGTCATCGGTGCTGTTGTTGATGTACAGTTTGAAGATGCTCTTCCACCTATCCTCAATGCCCTGGAGGTACAAAACCGTACTCCTAGGCTGGTACTCGAAGTTGCCCAGCATCTTGGGGAAAATACAGTTCGCACCATTGCTATGGATGGTAACATTTTTCAAATGTCGCAAGATATATGCTTTGCAATTAATGTACGAAATTAGCAAATTTTTACTAATGAATTCACACAAATATTTAATTTCATTATCTCTAAATCGTGTTAATAATAATTTACTATTGTTTTATTGTGTTAACTGTGTAATTATATATATATATATATATATATATATATACTATATAGTACTAGTACTATAGTATATATATATATATATATAGTAGTCGTTCGATAAAACTAAAGTTTGTATTCTCAACTTTGAGAAATAGTAAAGATATATTATTATATCATAGGTACGGAAGGTTTGGTACGCGGCCAAAGTGTCTTGGATTCTGGATATCCTATTCGTATTCCTGTGGGAGCTGAGACTCTGGGTCGCATCATCAACGTCATTGGCGAACCCATTGATGAGCGTGGACCTATTCCTACTGACAAGCTAGCGTCTATTCACGCGGACGCTCCCGAATTCGTAGAAATGTCTGTCGAGCAAGAGATCTTGGTCACAGGCATCAAAGTCGTGGATCTTCTGGCACCTTATGCCAAGGGTGGAAAAATCGGTAATACATCCTTATCACGAAAATAGAAAAAAAAAGATATCGTCCATTAATAAATTAACGAATCATTTGTTAGGTCTCTTCGGTGGTGCTGGAGTCGGTAAGACCGTACTTATCATGGAACTGATCAACAACGTGGCCAAGGCTCACGGTGGTTACTCTGTATTCGCTGGCGTGGGTGAGAGAACGCGTGAAGGCAACGATCTCTATCATGAAATGATCGAGTCTGGTGTCATTTCGCTCAAGGATAAAACATCGAAGGTAGCGCTTGTATACGGACAGATGAACGAACCGCCAGGCGCCCGTGCCCGAGTGGCTCTCACTGGACTCACTGTCGCCGAGTATTTCCGAGACCAGGAAGGTCAGGACGTACTGTTGTTCATCGATAATATCTTCAGATTTACCCAAGCTGGTTCCGAGGTATAAAAATTCATTATATACAGATTTAAGTTTAACAATCTGACACACAAGTCAGTTTATTTATGATCCATATTGGTGTATAATTCTTCAAGTTTATTCTTATACATTTATATCTCTCGTAATGGTTGGTAAACAGAGAAGTATAATACGTTCAGTCATACATTTATATAAAATCTTATTTTTCGATACATTCCAGGTGTCCGCCTTACTGGGTCGTATCCCATCCGCCGTAGGTTACCAACCCACATTAGCCACTGACATGGGTACCATGCAGGAACGTATCACCACGACAAAGAAAGGATCTATTACTTCCGTGCAAGCTATCTACGTGCCTGCTGACGATTTGACAGATCCTGCCCCTGCCACCACCTTCGCCCACTTGGATGCCACTACCGTATTGTCTCGTGCCATTGCCGAACTTGGTACATATTCCGAGAATTATATCTATTGTACACCGTGGTATGCACCATGACCGATATCCTTAATTACGAATTTATCAACAATGCAGGTATCTACCCAGCTGTCGATCCTCTTGATTCTACATCCCGTATTATGGATCCTAATATCATTGGTACGGAGCACTACAATATCGCCCGTGGTGTACAGAAGATTCTACAGGATTACAAATCGCTTCAGGACATCATTGCCATCCTTGGTATGGACGAGTTGTCCGAAGAAGATAAGCTGACGGTCGCTCGTGCACGTAAAATCCAGAGGTTTTTGTCCCAGCCATTCCAGGTGAGAAATGCATCGCTCTGAACCATTGTGTATATAGGGATTACTTGCGTGAATCTAATTGTTCAGTTGTAAAATTATAACTCTCGATGTAACTTATCGTATCCTTCTAGGTCGCCGAAGTGTTCACTGGTCACGCAGGCAAACTAGTACCATTGCAGGAAACCATCAAGGGATTCCAGAAAATTTTGGGTGGAGAATTAGATCATCTGCCGGAAGTAGCGTTCTACATGGTTGGTCCAATTGAAGAAGTAGTAGCGAAAGCAGAATCATTGGCCAAACAATAAATTAACTTACAGTCATCGTAAAGGAGTCATTGAGAATTTATTCAATTGTTATTCAAAAGTGACCTTCCGATGAAACTTGCATTCTCGACCTTTCGAGATCTCTTCGAATTTTTATCATATCGCGCTAAAAACGGAAGGAAAGAAAATTCTTATCATGTATAATTCATTTTATTCCTATAATCTCTGACACGTGTGTGATTATAAGGAATTATCTTGCAATCATAATAGTCTATTGTTATAATAGACTAGTCATAATACTGCAAAATTACCACACAAGCAGACTTGAAAGGTCGCTTTGCCTCTTACTTACCTTCCTTTTACCTCTTAAAAATAATCGTTCAAAATTACAAGTAAATGAACGCATCGATCAGAATATATATACACTGGAACTTTTGAGATCCTCTAGTTATAATTTACTTGGCAATCTTGTTATTAATGTATATACCATAGAATAATGGTATATGTGTTAGATATTAATAAACATTTCACAAAGACATATTCCTTTCTAAACGTTCATTCAGTTATGAAAGACTCATGTAATGTGTAATAAAAAAAATTTGCCTAACACAATACTGTATATAGAAATTTGTCATAAGTGTTGGATCTAAATAAGGAATAACGCAAAATTATAAATAGAAATAAGGAGAAGAATAAGAGTCCGAAAACATATTAATCTTTATATTATCAGTGGCCTTCATCGAAATCGATCATTGGTTGTGTTAATTTGTACGATCTTCTTAATACCTAGCAAAAAAAACATAAGCGTCAATCTTATATACATGCAGTTTTGTATATTTAAATATAAAGGATACATCCTCAATTCAGCGGATGATAAGTAATCCAAGTAATACAATCATTATCATCCAGTCAATATTTAAAAAAACAGAGTCTATGTAAAATAAAAAAATAATACAGAATTTTGTTACTAAATTTGCAATCTCTGCTAAATGGAAACTCATAAAAACAAGAATTTATCGAGAACACAACTTACATTCCACTGTTTCATATTTAACGAGACAATTGTTTGAGCGCCCGTTTTGTCAGTGGTTTGTTCATCTTGCTGACTCGCTGCCTTGCGATATGGTTGCACGACAAGATTTTCACGTTCACCTAAAAAAAAATAATTATTACCAGATGCTCTTGAGAGAGGTGAAGAGAAAATATAAAAGAATTACCTTTACTCAATTTTACGACTCCATCTTTAATGAGAAAAGATACGTATAACAAATTTCTAATGGTTCTCCCGAAATCGTAGGGATGTAAAATTAATTTAAATAAATCAAGCGGCCTTTGTGTTTCCTTGCAATAACTTATAATTAATTTTCTGATTTTTTGAATGGTTTGTTCTACACTGTCTTCTTCCTTGTTATCCTTCTGTGATACTAGTTTATTCGGCACTATCATTGTTGCCTTCTGTGCTTCCTTCCTTTCAATTTTTTTCCTGCTTACTACCTTTTTTTCTAAAGGCTCTAGTGTACCTGTAATAAAAATTAAAATTATTTGGTTTCATTTTTTTAACAGAAATAGTTATAGCTATCATTTAACTTTCAAGTAATTGATGAAAAATCTACAAATATATTTGTGATATTCTAGAAATATGATATGTGTTATCAGTTACGTTTTAGTATTTACAGCATGTTGCTTCTGTTAATAACTCTGTATATACCAATTGTATAGACCAACCTGATAATGTGTTATAATCAGGAATCCTTCTGAATAACTTTGTTATTTGTGTTTCTAAAAGAGACCAATTCATTGCCTGCTCATCATCCTGTGCCTCCTTCTGTATGTACTTTATCTAGGTAACACACACAGATTTTTAGTTATTTTAACAGCTGTGTGTACTATTTTAACATATTATTTAACATAAACACTACAAATAATTATAGGTATTTATAATATTATTCTTTTTAACAAACTCACTATTTTCTGCGCAAAGTCAATATGGTCATAATCGCGCATTCTTTTTTTTAATGAAACGGCGCAAGTTTTTATAACCTTGGAAGAAGATATCATCATTTGCGAATCGATAAGTACTTCTTGTTGATTGCATACTGAAAACATAATTAATAAAATATTTTATCTAGAAATAATAAAAATGCCAATTATTAATATTCAAATGATGAATTATTTTATATTGTGCGTCACGTTTCAACATTACACAGACATTATCGAACACTTGATATTAACAAGTTCATCAACAACAAAAATTTGAATTTTAATTTTATTTGTTCATTTTACACTTTTATTGTTTTCCGCTCTTTAGATTTTATTATTTTTGTATTAGAATTTCTGGCTCCAATTAACCCTCAAAGTATGCTTTTGGGATATTGTGTAACATACTCCATGTGATATTCTATACAATAATGTATTGAAGTTAGTTATACATACTTTTGTCTTGTACACTTGTTTCATAAGTGACATTATCAGCTTCGACTATTGCCTCATCTAACTTTTTTATTGTAGTAGTATTAATTGCATCATCTATAAAATATTAATTAGTCGTATTCTACACATAAAGTGTAAAAGGATAGGTAAAATAATACTTTACGTAAAATAAATGTTTGCTCTAAGATTCGTCTCAAACAATCCTTGCGTTCTTTAGAGGATCTCATAATGGCCAAGTTTGAAGAATTACTTCGAATGCGTGGCATAACGAAATTTTTAAATTCCTGGATTTTACAGATTTCTTTTCTGTGAAGAGAAATAAATGCATCACTTTACAAACGTGTGTGTGTGTATATGACAATAATTGTTCAATACTGATTATACTAAAGAAATTTACAGAACTTATTATTAAAATGATAAAAGATTGTTCTTTAAATAAAGCATTTTACGTAAATTTTACTGAAGCATATAACATGTGACACATTTTACGTATAAATCGTATAGTATATCGCGATATATTAAAAAGTTTATTATTTTAAAGTCCCAATTCTGCAGCTATTCATGTTCATGTTCAACGTTTGGAAGTAAACATGAAAATTACACAATAAATATCGGCAATATTATTCAGTATATACAATATTTATTTCTTTTTATACAAATGTAAAATACGACGGATCATATTCTCACTCATAACCTAACATGTCCAGTTACCGACACTTTTCTAAACAGACGTATTCATCGAAGGCTTTCCAACAAGTTAACACAGGAATGTGTCCCGTACTTGTTGACCGATAACTATCAAAAAAAAATTACCAGCTCGTGTCGTTGCTATTTATAATATGATTATACCGGCACAACACCATCAAATTCTCTCTCTCTCTCACACTTTTAGTTACGAAAAGTTTGGCGGCACTCCTACAACATTTTCGCTGATATAAAATATAGGAGGTCTGTTCGTTTTCGCAGTACAACAGCATGTAGTGCAGATAGTTCAATGAACTGTTGCACTGAGTCAGGAGGTAGTGTGATCAGTGCAGTACATGAAAGTGTAGCTTGGAAGTGCACGTAAGCGTAACGGAAATTTATACGAAAAGTCTCTATCAAATATGTGGCTTGCATTATATTGAAATGTGTGAAACATCTTTTATATTCCATTTTCAAAAATTGTTAATATTATACACACACATATACACAGCAGAAATGTCCAAACATACCACAAGGATGAATTTAAGATGTCAAGATATCTTTATGGTTTTATATTTATATTTATTTTATATTTAGTCATTAAAATTTATGATCGGTAGGGTATATAATATTATAAATTATTAATAAATTTGCTATATTTAGTTGTATGTTACATTTATCGTTTTCATCTACAATGGGTCGTAATAGTAGTTGTATTACAACAAAATCCTCTTCGTCAGAAGAATCAAATAATGCCATGTGATGCGCCATGTTGTTTACTACACTCTGGCGTTTCAGCGGTGCAGAGAAAACGAACAGACCTTTTCATTGCACTTTTGCACTGAACTGAACTATTCTGTACAGTCTTTTCCAGTGTGGTTCAGTTCAGTGCAGTTCTAATGCAATTTTAGTGTAGTGAAAAAAACAGACCTATAACCATTCTAAGGTACACAAGATTCGTAGGAAGATCTGTACGTACGAGGTGTGATCAAAAAGTAAGGTGACTTTTTGAATTTCGCGCGCTCTGTACACTCTAATTTCAAAATTTTTTTTTGTTGTTTGGTACCTCGTCACGATCATATGTTCACAGTTTTGACTATATAGCATGTGTTGTTTTTATGTGAGAGGCATAAAGGTTAGACTCGTGTTTGTGTGCTCGGCGATTTTTTGCTGTTGAAAATAATGGAGCAGAGAGTTTGTATTAATTTTTGTGTAAAAAATGGTATTAAATGTTCAAAAACTTTTGAAATGTTGACAGTGGCGTACGGTGAGTCAACTTTGAGCAAAAAAAATGTTTATAAATGATATAAGTTATTCCAAGAGGGCCGAGAAAATGTTAACGATGAACCTCGCTCTGGACGCCCCAGCACGCCCCATCAAAAATCGACGAAAATGTTCAGGAAGTGAAAGAAATTGTGTTGAAAAATCGTTGAATCACGATTAGAGAAGTAGCTGATCTCTTAACATATCGTTTGGTTCATGCCAATCAATTTTAAAGGATGTTTTGAGTATGACAAGTGTGTCAGCGAAATTCGTTCCAAAATTGCTTAATTTTGATCAGAACAGCATCGCATGAACATCGCCCAAGACATGTTGAACGACGTCAATGATGATCCTGATCTGCTTAAAAGGGTTATAACTGGTGACGAATCATGGGTATATGGTTATGACGTCGAAACCAAAGCCTAATCATCCCAATGGAAGAGCCCAGGAGAGCCAAGACCGAAAAAGGCACGCCAAGTTCGTTCGAATGTGAAGGTTTTGCTCACAGTTTTCTTTGATTACCATGGCGTTGTGCATCGAGAATTCTTACCACAAGGTCGTACGGTAAATAAGGAGTATTACCTTGAGGTTATGCGGCGTTTGCGTGAATCAATAAGAAAAAAACGGCCGGAAGTGTGGAAAGAAAATTCATGGATTTTGCACCATAATAATGCACCTGCGCACACGTCGTTACTAGTGAGTAGTTTTTTGGCCAAAAACAATACTACCGTCATGCCTCAGCCACTGTATTCACCAGACTTGGCCCCCTGTGTTTTTTCCTCTTCCCAAAATTGAAAAGGCCCATGAAAGGACGAAGATTTGCGACGATTGAGGAGATTAAGGCTGCATCGCTGGAGAAGCTCAAGGCAATACCCAAAAGTGCATTTCAGAAGTGTTTTGACGACTGGAAAAAGCGCTGGCACAAGTGCATTGTATCAGAGGGGGATTATTTTGAAGGGGATAACATAATTTTGGATGAATAAATGAATATTTTTTTATAAAAATGAAAAGTCACCTTATTTTTTTATCACACCTCGTATAAATTTGAAGAGGAAGTACTCCGACGTTATCGAGATCAGCCCTGCAGAAGCACCAGAGACATTGCACACGCCATGGGTGTAGATCATCTATTGGTAGAGCAAGTTCTACACGAGCACTTTCACCTTTATCAGCCTCAGAAGATACAAGAAATGAAAATGGATAATTGCAATCTACGTGCTAATTTTTGCCGTTGGTTCATTGAGCAACCTGAGGAAAAACCTCATACTTCATACGTTCTATCCTATTTACTGATGAATCTACCTTCATCATAGAAGAAGATTCCAAAAACAATGATGTATTGGAAGAAGTAAAACCTGGCACTAAGCATGTCAAAACTGACCAAGATTGCTTGGTTATCAATGTATGGGCAGGAATTATCGACGACCATCTAATTAGTCCTTATATTTTTCCTACCTAAATCAGTGGTAAAGTTTACCCTAACGTTTCTTCAAAATACATTACCTGAACTATTGGAAGATGTGTCTTTTGAAATCTGTCGCCGAATGTGGTTTCAGAACTGCGGCCTGTCACCATATTTCTCTTTCATCGTCCATGAGTACCTGAATAAGACCTTTGGCAACAAGTGGATTGGACGCCCAGTAGCTTGGCCTCCTCGCTTCCCAGACTTGACTCAGGTGAACTTTTTCCTGTGGAGATACCTGAAGAGCCTGGTATATGAGACTCCAGTGAACAAGAAAGAAGAGCTTGTGGAAAGAATCATGGTAGCGTGTAAAACCATCCGGGTAACTCCGGGAATCTTCGAAAAAGTGCGGCAGAACATGATCAGCCGGTACAAATCATGCAACGAAGTCGACGACTGTCATTTTGAGCAGTTTTTGTGAGGTCATGTAACAAAAGAAAACAAGTATGTTCTTGAGACACGAAAAATGGTGTTTTCGAAGTTAAAAGGTGTTTGCAAATTTTCTCAGTGCCGACAAGTGATCGCTACAACAATGACCGATCTTTCTATCCCTGAGCACTGTAACGTCAATTCAATAATATCCTGTGCACACATACATGAAAAAAATTGTATAATAACGTATTCTCTTAAAGTAAGAATTAGTATTACATAATATATGTGGAAAATTTCCCAAAATTTTTCATTAGCTACACTTAAGTGCTGTTAAAATGAATTTTTGTAGGAATTATTCTATCTCGAAGAAGATATGTTTTATAAAACTCTAATGCATTTCTTGTATAAATAAAGAATATTAACTCTTTCCGGTCGTAATAGTTGTAAGCATGGGTATCTTGCCCGGAATTCAACCGGAAAGAGTTAAAGAACCAAAGTTTCCCATGACCATATTGAAAAATGCACATAAAAATATAAACTTGTTAATTTTACTGTATTCTAACTTTAAACTCAGCGTCCTTTCAAAAAAGTATCAAATTTAATTTTCTTTCAAAACACCGCTCTTTATTATATTGCCGTATCGCATGTATTTAATCATTTCTTAATAGGTTTATACAGCAAAAAAAATATAAGAAAGTTAGGTTGGTATATTTTTTTTATTTTCCCTTTTTTTCATGATGATAATAATATAAACAAATTTCCATTATTTTAACAATGATTTTCTTCAAAATATATTACAGATTTTATAATACTTATGCTACAAAATCGTTTATAGTAACGATTGATTCCTAAATCTTTGTCACGCCCGCGTGCTTTTGTTGCCTATTATCTGTGCCTATTCATTTCGCATATTATACATATTTAATATAGAAAAACTTTACATAATATAAACCTTTCTTTATTAAAAAGCTCAACAAATTTTATGTAAATAATACGTTTTTTTTAACAATCTATCATATTAAACGACCATCTGTGCCCAGAATTTTACTCCCGACTTACTACGTTAACAGGTAACAGCTGTTTGAAATTAAATAAATTATTTATTAAACAAATTTTACAATTTGAATAGACATGTAATTTGTAATTAAATAAAATAAGAGTTGAAAAAAGATATATATATATATATATATATATAAATTTGTATATGAATTCTCAAGATTACAAGTCCGAAAACAATTCTTATGTTATTTAAATATATATATATATTACGAACTTACTTAAAATTATTTATTTTGTTACTACTCAAATTTAATAAATTATACTTGCATCTTTTCAAATAATATATGAACTTTGATTTTTAATCCAAAAAATATTAGTGTATCATATTTCAATTCACATATACTTACACGTTATAAAATTTAAAGCAGTTTTTGTATGAAGTTCTTTTGCAGTACTAATTTAATTGATTATATAAAAAGAAGTAAGAAAATAAATTAATGTACACTATATTAATTTAAAATAAATTCCTCTTGTTGCAATGTTGTAATTAAATCTTTTTTTTCTCTCGATCGTGAAGATTGTTTTCAAGATATTTTCATCGTAATTTATATTCTTAAAACTATTCGAAAAATTAAATAGGCAATATTTTAAAGTATATCCTATGATAAATTGAAATTAAATATATTCTTATGCATATACAAAGATATCCTGCAATGAGTAGGATAACCGGAAAGACGTAATTTTGATGATCATCGCCGAGATAAATTTAACGACGTGGGAAATCGTGCAAATTTATGAAAACACAAAAAATTAGTTTTTCAAAATCAATTTCTTTAACAGTGGTCTTCGATAAAAAATTTGATTTTATATTTTATTTTTTAAATATAAAATCACTTTCTTCTCGGTTTTATATCATTGAAACCCATTGCGATCATCCTTTAATTATTTTTCCTGCATATTCTACTTTACAACATATATCATACTTACAGTAAATAGCACAGATTCACTAAGGCGTAAGATTTAGGAATCCTTGAAGTCTTTTTCTGTATCGGTTATGTAATGAGATGAAATTTATCAACAAGATGAGGATATACGCCTGCAGATTTAAAAAGCTAACACTTGCGACGGATTTGTACAGTCGCCTATTGTCATTCTATGCATTGCCATTTCTGTAATACCATGGTAATGAACAAAAGCAGCTGCAATTACTAGTACATGGAAGATTTGGTGACTCTGAAACTAAATTTAAAATATATCTGTATAATACACACACACACACACACACACACACACACACACACACACACACACACACACACACACACACCACGTAATATAGACGAGATAAAACAATCTTGATTCTACATAAAAAAAAAATAGATAACATTTTAATAAATCTTACCCAAATATCAAATTTTCCTGGAAAGAAACGTTCAGGTACCCTTAAAGCATAAAATAATGCACCTAATATATACAAACATCCCATTAGTATTAACCATCCAAGGGATGCTTGACTAATCGCCTTGAACCAACCTTCGGCGACAGCATAATGTACCGCTGGTATTACCTGTATGAAAATATGTGTTAATACCTAGTGTAACGTGTGTATATTTGGCAGATATATGTTATGAACATAACAATTTTACTTACCCCACTAAGCCCAAATCCCATAAAAACTCCTGCTCTAAGTGGACGATAGTTTGGTTCACCAAATCGCTCCCACAATGATACAACGATACTGGTTATACCAAGGACAACCACCACAGACAGATAAATTAGTTTAGGTTGATAGTCGCAATAAAATCCGTAATAAAGCCATGGTACAAAACTACCCATAATAAGCATAGCTATGCCACAATAATCTAACTTTGAAAATAGCTTTCCAACACATTCGCTGTGGCAATGAACTGTGTGAAAGGCAAACGACATTCCTAGGCAAATTATAGCACCAGCAAAGAAGGTACCAAATACCAATTTTTCTTCCAATTGAATTTCTATAGGAGGTTGTGTTAGAAAAAATATAGCTATACCAATAAAGGCAACGCAGCCTGTAAAGAATAATATATCTTATGAGCAGAATTCACATAACCAAAAGTCACAGAATATGCTTGAAAGAATATGTAGCTACCATATATGCTTCTTTCCAGAAAGTGCACATTCAATACATTCAGTGTCTTATTTAATATTCTGTATCAGTAAAAAAAAGGCTCACCTAGCAAATGTGTCCAGATATTACCAGTTTCAGTATGAATTCGAAAAATACTTTTAAAGCACGCATAAAACGAGGGTAATGGTGGCCTGTGGCCGGCGTGCAAGAAATCATTATCTTGCAACCATCTTGGCAGATTTCTAAAATGACATTGTTTCCAGGATGCTTCCCATACCTGTCAATAAATTATTATATTAACTAAGTCAAAAGACGGAAAATTTAACTATCAATAGCTGCCTTGAACTAACAATACCATCCTATAACAGGAATTCATTCTGAATTTTCTTAACTGTAACTGGCAGCATAAGAATATATTCTTATTTTACAACTATATTGTTACAGACATTTTTTTACCTTTCGAACAAACTCTTCAGCCTGCTCTGCTGCATTATGAGCTAATGCTCCCAAATCAATTTCATCACTTAATACGCCTGCTTTCAATACTTCGGTCATCTGTAATTGAAATGAGATATATGCTTGTTTACTATATATAGTTGGGCAATATTATATTTATATTCTAACAAAAAAGAAAAAAACAAACCTCACAATCCAAAAGATGATCATCTTCTGGAGTTGAGGGTAAGGGACATCCAGCTCCATCTTCCTCTTCTGCCAAACAACTTGCATCATCATCTTCTAATAATTCTTTAACTTCGTGTAAACCAGGTATTTCACTATTTAATAATACACGATCACTCCACGGAATGCGATGTCTTACTCCTAAATCTCCTGGCAAGTGTTCTTCTTTTTCTTTAGCTTCCAGAATAACATCTTCATAGTGCGACATGATTTAGTATAAACTTAATTGATTTCAACTCTGTGAAAAAATTGATCAATTAAATTGTGTGTGTGTGTGTGTGTGTGTGTGTGTGTGTGTGTGTGTGTGTGTTAGTTTTATTTTACATATACAGTATACTTGTTTCATTGAAAAGAGAACTTTTATTAGTATAAAAAGGAACGTTTATTTTAAAAATTATAAGTGTATCTATTAAATTTCTTATTGAAACAAATTCTTAAATATAAAACTTCAATATAATATTATTTCTAAGCATTTATTAACATCTTTTGTAATTATATTACAAAATTTATATTTGCCACAGATCTAAATATAGAATATATTTAATATGCATATATTTGACAAGCTATATATGTTTTGCACAACAGTTTTTATAAGAAATAAGTATTGTATGATACTGAGTAATAAGTGAAGTACCTTTGTACTTCGTATAAAGGTGGCAGAGAAGAAAGAATTAATATTAAAGCTATTAGAACAAAAAAACTGGTTTTAAATATGATCAATAGTGAATCATTAACATAAATCTGATCTTTGGGAAGAATGGATTACCTTAGGTTAAGTCTTCTCCATTCAGCTTAATAGCAACATACTTGACTTAATACACACTTTAAAGAGTACTAACTTTCTGTCTATATAAAGATTGCAGACTTATTATATAAGACACGATAAATTAGTATTCTGGTTATTGCATCCGTCATATCAACTGACCATTTAACCTTCTTAGAGCAAGGTTATTTTTTATATAACAATCATATTCTGAACTACGTAAGCAAATCAGATTCTTTATTGTACATGCAATTGTGAAAAATAATAAATTATAAAAATGTGCAACAGACGTGAAATAATATGTAAATATATTTAATTATTAAGATATAATTGCCACGAAAGCATAAACACGAATACAATTTCCTATGCTTACCAGTCACACGACGATTCTTGCGATTCCTTCACATTTACGTAAACATACCTTTAAAATTTTTAGATTGCAAAACTATGAGTGGCTTAAAAAATCACGTTTTCTACTTCGTTGTAAACGTTTACACGTTAATATAAGTACAATGTCCAATATACACACACAGGTATGCATAAATATATGATATTATAGACTGTGTTCCAAAATTCACCGTCAGCGTTGAAAATCCATAGTTCATGCCACATATACTATAGATTTTCAGCACTAGCAGTAAATATTAGGTGCGATCCACTAGAAGTTGCAAACGCTTTTAAGTACTCAAAGAGAAACCATGATTGGCCTATACGGTGCTTCAAAACACCTGTAAGGCCTAATAGATCACACATATAATGTTAGTCCATTTGACGCGACAGAAATTTGAAAGGGTTTTATTCCGGGTCTATATTACCCCTTGTCCACAATCTTGCTTTAAGAAATAAGCAGTAATCAAATTAACTAACCACGGTCATTTATTAAAAGAATAATCTATCGTGATTGGTCAATTTGTTTACGTCTTAAAGCAACATTGCAGACAACGGGATAGGTGTAAGTAAACTTTAAGCTTTGACTAATCGATTATTCCTTTCATAATCGATTATGATTGGTTAATTTCTTACAGCTAGAAACTTCCTACACCTATTGTAGGTCCAGACTTAAGTCCGTATCAGCCAACGGATTAGAATTAAAATTGGATTGAAATTTTGCCAATTAGAGCAAAAAAATCATTAAATTCAAGTTTAGTGAACTTTTCTCTGATTGGTCAAATTTCAATTCAATTTCAATCTCCAATCCGTAGTCTAATACAAGCTTTATAACCATAGACCATAGTAAGAATAGACCGTGCATGAAGCGCGAGAACTGAAGATCAGATAGAAAGAGACGGACAATAGATGTCGTATAGCTTTCTCTCTCTAATAAGGAAAGAGTAGGGAGAAAGAGAAAGAATAACGTTTTCCTTCTTGCAAAAGGAATTAATGCCGATCAGTGCAGAATGATCTTAACTCATAGTATAATTAATCCTTAAAGGTGACTTTCACCAACCTCAATTCGGTCAAGTGACAGTTAACGGTGTTAGCCAATCATATTGATCAGTTCAGCTAATTGGTTACTACGATTGGTCAATTCCGTTGAGTTAATCGTCGGTTAACCGAACCGAGGTTGATGAAAGTTACTCGAAATTTTGTAAAGTTGGCGATCTTTATTACTATCATATTGGTGCCTCTGATCATCGCCTAATAACATAAACCGGGAATTATTGAAGTTAACGCTAACCTCAAAATATTGTTTCCAAAAATCACCTATTATACAAGACGAGAGGTTAACCGAATGTAAGATACTTCATATATATATATATATATATATAATTTTATTTAAATTTAATTAATGTATTAAGATATGTATACATATATATATTTAAGTGTATAAAGATATTTATATTACTTCATTTTTATATGTTAAATCCCTCAGTAATTTGTCAAAATATACAATTTTTGTAAAATAATTTATGTTTATATTATATATAAGTTACATATTTTCTAGTGTTTTAAATTTTCAGTAAAAATGGATATTCGCCCAAACAATACCATTTATATCAACAATTTGAATGAGAAGATAAAGAAGGATGAATTAAAAAAGTCATTGTACGCTATCTTCTCTCAATTTGGTCAAATTCTGGATATTGTGGCTTTAAAAACATTGAAGATGCGTGGGCAAGCTTTTGTTATTTTTAAGGAAATAGGGAGTGCAACAAATGCGTTGAGATCTATGCAAGGATTTCCATTTTACGACAAACCAATGGTGAGAATAGACATCATACACGGAACTCTTATCTTCCTTTTTTATTTTTTGTATTTATGTTAAAAAAACAGTACCTTTTATGTATATTTTACAGTAACGTGATATTTACACTGAATTATATATGATTTTATAGAGGATACAGTATGCCAAAACTGACAGTGACTTAATAGCCAAAATGAAAGGTACTTTCGCAGAACGTCCGAAGAAGCCAAAACGAGTCGTACCAGCAGCGGATGAGGAAGCTAAACGTGCTAAGAAACGTGCGAAAGAACAGGCAAAACATTCGCAACAAATTGGTTATCACGCTGGTGTACCTCAACATCCAGGACTTGTTAATACAGCTGTGCCCGAGCAACCACCAAATCAGATATTATTCTTAACAAATCTACCGGACGAGACAAGTGAAATGATGTTATCGATGTTGTTTAATCAATTCCCAGGCTTCAAAGAGGTACGTTTGGTACCTAATCGACATGATATTGCGTTTGTCGAATTTGAAAATGAAGTTCAGTCCGGAGCAGCAAAGGATGCTTTGCAAGGTTTTAAAATCACACCATCGCACGCGATGAAAATATCATTTGCAAAAAAATAAGTTGTGGAACTATTTTCTACTATTAATATTTAAGTAATATATAAATTCGATCGAATAGATATTTCTATAAAAATTAACACATTGCAAGCAACTTTGATCATCTGTAATTTACAGAAAAATGTATTTTATTTACCACTATGTCATTTTGTGGCATTCAACAAATACAAATTTACTCTAAGGTAACTTATACTGTATCATTCCGTGTCCTGCCAAATATTTAACAATATGTGATAGACTTTATTGTAATTTGAACATTAAATTCAGTATACAAAGAATATATGTTTTATTCGCTCGAAAATATTTGCACATTCACAAATATAAACCTTCGAGTAATTTAAAAGGAGAGGAGGAAAAAAATAAGAGATTTTTGGAATAAAGTATATTTATTATAATGAACCTTTTTTTTTTGATCTCACGAATATGCAAATATATATGCAAATATACATGTAATGCAAATATACATGTCGTTTACTTTCACGTATTTCTGGTAAATTTGTGTACACGTTGTAATTGTATCTGCAACACGAATAGCATACAGCATATTATTAAAAACGATATGAATGACATATATATTACATATACATAAGCAAATACATATTTATTTCTCATTGTCGCAGTTAGTATACGCAGTAATTATTTGGAAAGCTAACTGGTTAATTTACAATTACAAAAGGAGTGTACAATATACTGATGCCAAATGACTACTATTATTCATTATATATTACGTCTTTACGGAACGCATGAAATGACTAAGGTTACGCCAAGCGATAAAAAGCAACGTGAACGAAAGAGCCAAGGAATGATAAAAGAATATATAATATATATGGAGATATAAACGTTGCATTATTGCAGGCGTCCGTAAGACACAGATCGCATTTGTTCATTTCTATGTGTTGATTGTTCTCTAATTTCCCTTCTATCGTTTTGCACGGATCGATGGATTCCGTTTTAGCCGTTTGGCATGTCCTTATGGTAACGTCTTGTTTCAAAACTAAAAAAAAAGAATATATATGTGTATATATGTGTGTATGTGTATATATATGTATGCGTGTACAGGATTCCCTAACTAATTTTAGTTTCCGCAGTGTGCAGGAAGAACGGGTGAAACTAAGCAGAAAAGTCATGTATCATTTTGCAAAATTTACAATAGTTAATGAGAGTTAATTATTTTATGTCCCAGCTAATGAGACGGCACAGGAAACGGTAGGCCGAACTCTGTATAAAGAAAAATGGCTTACTTCTAAAGATCTCCTAGAAACGATGAGCATCAACAGATTTCTATAGGCGGAATAACGCGGTGAACAGCGAACAGCATGTGACAAAGAATTGAGTACACCGAAAAGAATCATGCCTCTCGTTATTAGTTGATACTCATCGTTACTAGGAGATCTTCAGAAGTAAGCCATTCTTTTTAATACAGAATCCGGCTTCCAATGCGCACATTAGCTCAGACAAAATAATTAATTCCTCATTAACTATTGCGAATTTTGCAAAATAGCAGTTCTCCGCTCAATTTCACCCGTTCTACTTGCACTGCGGAAATAGAGATTAGTTTGGGACACACTGTATATATATTGGAACAAGAGAATGCAATCAATCGAAGATTTTGAAGGAAGTTATGCAATCTTTATATTTTACTCGATCATTTTTTAAAATTAAAACATCTACGTGATTCGTATAAGGGAATGTGTATTGTGTCGATCATATTAATTTATCTCACTCTGTCCCCGGCTACTTACTATGGAGGGTCATTTTGGAGCATGCCATGTTCATGTTTGGAAAGTTTCGGTAGTCCTGCAACCCCTCATCCATGTCGAAAAACCACGTGGTCAAATTGAGGATCTTGTGTTGTTTGATCTTCAATTGCCATTCTCTCATCTTAGTACCGGTACATTCCTCTGGTTGCAAGTTTGGTTGCAAGTCTGTTGTCAGTTCAGAACCGCATCCTTTGTCTGATAGCGAAGTGCACATATAGCACTTCAGATTGTCTGTAGAGAGGAAACATGAATAATAAGTCCTTTGGAATAAAACGAGATAGTCGTATTGCGCGCCCTACATTGATAAAAAAGTCACATTCTCTCTCTCTCACATTCTCTCTCTCTCTCTCACTCACTCACTCACTCACTCACTCACTCACTTATTCTCTCCCTCCCTCCCTCTCTCTCTCTCTCTCTCTCCGCTTAGGAAATAAATATGATTCTTCTTAGCGCTTTCAGAAGATCTTTGATATTCCTTGTTTGTTCCCGCATTTTACATAAAGGATATGACGATCAAATTCCCTTCGAACAAAGTCAGCGGTTTTCAAGAAAAAAAGTTTCGTACTCCCTTTCTTTCTATACGAGAATCAACACTTTCTTTACATCGAATGTAACTGTTTCTATTTATCATCTTCTTTTAAATTCTCTTCAGCTTATCACATTTGTCGGATTTTTATTTGAAAAATCCTTCAAAATTATTGGTAACTTTAGAAAAACTCGGTGAAAAAATAATAAAATTTTAAACGTACAATGAAATTTTAATTTTTCCACATGTCTATATCATTTCTACTCAAACTGATTCGAATTCTTATTTAGGTCGCAAAATAACGATATGTGGCGCCATTCGTCGCGACTCTCTATCGCTCTCTATCCGTGCGCCATTCGTATCGACTCTCTATCCGTGCGTCTATGCACATATGTATACAACGCAACGAGGACTTTGTTCTCTACACAACTTTCTTCTCACTTTGTTTTTCTCCTTTTTAAATAAATGTTTTTTAATAAACCAAAGTGCACACACAAAAGTGCAAAAAGAGAAAAAGGAAAAAAAAACCATTCTCATTTCATTAAAAAACATCATCTCATTAAAGAACATTTTTTATAGTTTGTAGCTTCATAGTGTAAGTACAAGTTTTGGTGATATTTTTTCTATTTGATATTATGGTATGTATATGCTTTACTTTTCAAAGATGGAATTTTCTACACTGCTGTAACACATTAAATTTTTGCATGTTGCTACGTAAATTTTTTTTCTACTGATTACGCGTACAATGTCTATTTTTCACTACGATTTTACTATTTTTAATTACCTTTTTATTTTTCTGCTTCTTTTTCGAAAAGTTCCATCGGAATATTTCTCTATAAACATATGTGAATTTGACAAGGATACCGATGACGCACAATCGTTTCCCTTGCTTAACAAAAATTGTACAAGCTACACCAAGCAAAATAAAAAAAACAAGCAATGATCCTTGAACATATTTTTATTCTTCTCGGCGTATTACCGTAAATGATGAAAATTAACGTCACCTGACTGAGCCGCCGTGACAAAGGCTAAAGCGACAAATGATATCGCGATCCTTCGATGCATCCCGCTTCTTTGATGGTATAACTTTCGTCCTTGGTGACAGAAACGTAAGTTGCGTAGATAAAGGACAACGCACGTCGAAAGCGAGTTGTAGTCCTGTGGACAGTCTGATCGCGAGTATGCGCGAAACCCTGCGGGAGCTTTTCGTTTTCCACGCTGCTTTGACCCCCGCCCTCTGTCTTCTCCTACCGCCTCGGTTTCCTTGACATTTTATCCTCCATCGTTCAGCGAGCTTTTCCGTAACGCGCAGATTCCGCCTGTTTTCTGGTATCTTCCAGGATCTTCGGATGTTTTTCTCTTCGCTAATACTAATCTCGCTTGATTGATAACAATCATAATACTGTTAATGAAACCAAAGGAATGTGAGCTAGTATAGAACGTGAGCTAGTATAGAATAAAATTACCCGAATAATATCTCGACGAGCCACTCTCCCATTGAATAAATTTCGTTGCCTTAATCCGTTGCATCTCATACGAAACAGTAATCAATGAAATTCAATATATTTGCAAGACATTTATTTTTACAGTGTAAATGGCATTGAAAATTTGCGCCGGAATCTAAAACTCACAAAGTGCTGATATCAAACGTGATGAGTCAGCATAAAGTGTGGACGTCGTGAATTTGCAATTCTCAAAAGTAGCCATTAATCGAAATTGAATGCGTTATACGCGTTCAATGGGGGATAATACAGGGTTAAGAAGGGAAGGATGACAAAAAGGGGAGAGAGCGTAGCGCAGGTCGACGCCGTGGTGTCTGTCGGAGCGTCGTAATGTCGCGCCACGCCGCGCCGCGGCGACGCCAGTGACGCCGTTTGCCTAGTTCTCGATTTTCAGCTTGGCTATCGCAAAGAAAAAATCTCATAGAGGAAAAAATATTTTCCGCGTTGCCTCTTTTTCATGTAACTTTTCCTAACTTTCCCTCCTACCGTTTCTCGTGTCCTCCGTTCAAAAAATCACTAGTCTTATCATATTCTTTGCCTTCGATGTCTACATCTTCGTCGTTTCTTTCGTTGTATAAATAGCCTTTATTAGAATTCATCTGAAATCTCGTCTCAAATGTTTGTAATTAAAGTGAAATGTGAAGGAGCGATCGGGTCGTAATCGTTACCTCCTTTCACTATCGGAAAAATATTGCGTCAATGGTCAATTTGTTTATGCGTATCTAAGAAAAAATGAAGATCGCATTTTGGCTGTGTTGAGTAGAAAAAGCAGCTTAGTAAGCACTTTCCGCTGCGCTGCCAACTGCTATGCAACTGTTGTAAAATTTTCTGCTGAACAACTGAACTTCTGCAGAACGACTAAACGGCTCCGCTAAATCTAGCTGTTTACTAGCTTTTCCAATATGTTTACTCTCAGCTATACAGTATTAAAATTTTCTATTATCCATTACATGCCAAAAGAAGATAGAATGACGCTTACAACGCATGAGCGCTCAGAGCGAACGTAGCCAAAGTAAAAAAAAAAAAAAAAGGAGAAATGACGACTGCTTAGTAAACATATTGAAAAAACATAAATCGCTGGTTTAGTTGTTTAGCAGTAGATTTTTAGACAACGGTTACAAAACTGCTGGCAGCGTGTAACACAAAGTGTTTACTAAACTGCATTTTCTGTTGAACGTAACTATATTGTTACTTTTACTACGCTTATAATATGTCTTAACACTTTTATTATTAGAGTTATGTAATTCACCAAGTGTTAAGACACATGTGCTGGTTTATGCATACAGGGTGTCCTAGAACTCAGTGGACAAATCTCATGAGCACGTAGAACGGATTAAGATGAACAAAAATTCGCAAACAACATGCCGAATTTCGAGTTATTAATTACTGAAAATGGCTATGTATAGGGATTTCTCCAATTTTCCAATACGTGCTCATGAAATTTGTCCATTGAGTCCTGGGTTACTTTATATATGTATTGTATATACAATTTCTCTCCTATATATACACATAAGTAAAATAATGTAATTTTATAAAATAAAATTAATAATATAATAAATATAGTAATAATAATGCTTTATTATGTATATAACATAGAGAACACGCACCTGAATGAATGAGTTTTTCAATACATCCGCTATTTTGACTATACTTATTTTATATTTCTGTATTTATAATAGATTAAACGATTAACCGCATCCTAATATATCTCACGCATATTTCTGCACGTGTCTCTTCGCAGAGGAATACTGTACAAGAATTGCGAGTTAAGTTTCACACGCATATTGCCCACATTACAAGTGTATTATACAAAGTATTATACAAAGTACGCATAGCGCATGCACGCATAAAAAAGATGATGTAACTCGCATAACAGTGATGTGGCCACTTGGAAACGCTTTAGAAAATTTGCGTCGCTCTCTTCATTGACCGATCATCGCCTGGCAATATAGTAATCAACAATCACGAAGAGCGTACACAGAAAGTAGAGGCTGGATGAGCATCGTTGTGATCGATTGCAGCCGTATCCCACGCATTCGCAAACAAGTTGATAACTATCTCGACTGTAGCGTCCTCGATAACATTCATTTTGGCTATTGCGTGATTTCGCGCATTCGCGCATGGTTAGGTTGTTGTGCGAATCCATAAAGTAATCTGCGGAGAATTGTATTGATATTTCAATATTATATCAGGTAGAACTCGAACTGTTGATTCCAACGTGATACGCTTTACTCAGGATGTGAGGTATATCGCGAATCAACTCCATTAAATGATCACGAAAATTCGCAAGTTACTGTCCCCAACTGCTTATGGTTAGCAGGTACTGGCGGATGGGGGAAGCTAAATGCGAGAGACGGTAACTTGGTATTGGTGATAATACTCGAATATACTCACACACATAAACGGTTTTGCGACAATAGGGATGACCCGATGGACACGTTTTCAGGTATTTAAAGTGTACTTTGTTAAGGGTGCAATCCTGGTTCTTTTTGCTACTACACTGATAACATTTGATCGCAATACATTCTTTTTTCCAATAGGTACGGTCGATAGATGCCAATACGACATGTAAAAAATTATGTAATGATAAAAAAATCTGCATTAGTAAAAAGATATGTATAATATTTCAGCATAGGTGTTTCTGAAAAAAAAAGGTGAAAGGAAAGAAGAGTTTTTTCTCTATAACTTTTCTTTAACAAACCGAATGTGTGTGTGTGTGTGTAAACAAAATAGTTATTGGTCACATTGTTATAATATATAGTCTGTTATTTTAGCTGAACTGGCTGCACTAGTTCAAGAAATTTACAATACACATCGAAACTTATAAAGCGTACGATTCTCACGCTTCGGTATATATAAATTTGTTGAACTAGTGCAGCCAATTCAGCTATAAAAAACGGACCACTATATTAGACGTTAACCTCTTTCAATGTTGTGTCCGGTTATTGAAGTAATTGAATAAAAAGTTACTCTCATTTAACCCTTACCGTTTTGGAAAATGCATAAAATCAATAATATTTGCAATATATGCAGTCTTATATGCATTGTAAACTGTGTTTCTTCATATAGGTCATACAGCATCGAAAGAATCAAATGATTGCAACAGAATCCACATCCTACGACTAACCGTCTTTTGTAGTAGCTGGTTATCATAAATTTAGGAGATAAACTACCTCCGTAATATAAAATTAACATGAACCAAATATTTTTCATCTCACACTAACTGCACTAGTGAAAATTGAGTAGTACAATTTATATTTTATCCGCGAAATCAACTGTGCGTTGTATATTGACATAACCGCATACATTAGTCGCAGTTTTTTTGTACTTTACCCTCTGACATATGTATACAACTTATTCGCAAACTACTCTTACCAAATGTTTCATTGTATTCGGATAGATCGGAAATGTGCGAACGTAAAAACGTAAAATTGTATCAACAAATTAAATCCTGCCGAAGGGGTTATAGACTTTGCACCGGATCTTTACGAAATATGTTCAATACGAAGTTGGCAACGTAAATTGATTTGTATCGATATTTATCTCAATATTTAGATAATCATTGCAGTCATGTAAAATATTGGCAGCTATTGAGCACCTCAATGTTTACTCATACGATACCTTCCTTGTTTATCTTTCCGATAACCATATGCATATCTATATTTGTCCACCCTCTATCGACCGATATATCCCGGGCAGCAATTTGTTGGCTAACCGACATTCGGCCAACAGCTAGCCAATTTGTCCTATTCGGGATGTAAGACAACCCTCAGGATTATTTGTTTATGATATATCTTAAGCGGAACATGCGAAGTAAAATTCGTATATTCATGTGCTGAAGAGTCTTTTAAAAAAACTCTTATAAGAGAGCAGGTTCTTAGAAAATATATATTTCACAGCCTTGAGCCGTTGTTCGTAAGAGTCGTTATTGCAATAGTCGATCGCGGCGTTGCAATCAAATTTACTCACCAAGAAAATATATTTGCTTTTTTCGCTCTATCGACGATCCCGACTATTACGAGTGAGCTACTCCTTGAAGCGGCGCTTGTAATACAGCACGGGTTTATAAGAGCGAAAAGTATGTCAACATGTCGGCCGTTAAAACGCTAATTACGTTAATACCAGCTATAACGAAAAATTATATACTCTGTATTTAATATCAATTCGCATCTCTATACTATCGCGGCCATAAATATGGTGCGTTACAATCAGCGACAACGCAATGAAGGTAAAATATTGCTCGCAATATCACTCGGGGTTTGTTTTGCGATTTATCTACATATCGGAAGTATACAAGACGGAGGTCGGCGACAGAAAAATCCGCGGTATTTGCATTATTTTATTCAAACACACAACACGCAAATACATGAGATGATGACTACGTGTGACAGTTTCGTGACGTTGAGCATGTCACAGGAAGATGAACATTATCCACTCAACGTGCTCCAAACCATCACTTTACTCTCCATTTGAACGTGAAGCTGTTCGTATTATCCGCAGCCTTATCTATTTAACCTATATATTCGTGACAACTTTTTTAGAACAATTTTTCTCCCAGTTTCCTACTAAGAGTCGGATGTTCCATGGATATTAGATTCTGCTACATGTGTACTTCACAACATCACTAAGTAACCAACATTTACAACTCTGTTTTCTACCTGAAAGTTACCAATTCTATTTTATTTCTCGCTCATTTACTTCGGCGTTTTTCAAGATTCTTCTCAATTATCGATTGAATTCTTCCCTGAAGAAATTTCGTTGGCAATTAAAAGTATTGGTATACTTTTGGTATACTTAAGTGACGTGACCTCCATAGCATTTATTTTTGCGTGTACGCGAGTGATAAAGTATATAAATAATAAGTTTATTATAAAAAAAATATTGGTCAACAGGCGCGCGCGAAGTACACTGTGAAATGTGTCACATACGATCGTTACGGAGTGTGTGGCAAAATTTTGCCACAATAATAGGAAGATCGATTGAGCCGGGGTTATTCGCGTAGATGCGTCGCCTATTCGAGGTTCTCCTTCCATCGCTGGTTGTTTCAACACGTCCACCTTAAGGTCCATTCAGACTGATCGAAAACGCTATTGGTCATGTTTCGTCACGCCGCGCCGCAGCTTATTCTTTCCGCGTATTCTTATGACGTACCCGTTTTACCAGTTTAGTGGGAGTATCTCCGTGGGAATACATAGAAAGAATAAATCATGGTGTGTGTGGCAACAAGATCTTCAGCCAGTCTGAACAATCCTTTAGTCTCCCTACCTCGGGTGTAATCGCATGTTCGCTCAGTACCACTCGGTACTGTATACATTAGTGCTAGAGTTAGTAGGGTTGCAGCACGCTAGCATCGAACATTAACAGTGCTTTTTCAGTTCTCCAGGTCAAATGATACTTTCGAGTCTTTTCGATTCTTGATTCTCTTTCTCTCTGTCTGTCACTTTCTCCCTCTCTCTCTTTCTTTCTTTCTCTCTCTTTCTCTCTGTCTTTCTTTCTTTTTTTTCTCCTTTTCTCTTTCTCTCCCCTCTTTTTTCTTTCTATTTCTCCGTCTATCAAATCCTTTGCCACCTTTCCTCTCCTCTCACACGTATATATCTATTTCTATATATATCTATTTCGTCTCTTTCTTTGTCTCCCCTGTGAGCACTGTGGTGTTTCTGTCAGTGAAAGAGCTTCTCAGTTATTTAACATCCGCCTGTTAATCAAGGGCCGGGGTCAATAAAGCAAGGAAGAAAAAAGAAAAAAAATGAGGAAAGTCTTCAGAGTGAGGTCTGTCGTTATTGCCTTGTGCAGCATCTTTCTGTTTTTGTGTCACAATGGTAAGTGAGTGAGGGTGTGTCCAAGTGTATCATTTGACAAGTCTGGCCCATTGAACGTTTGGACGCATTTCAAATTATTTGGAGATATATTGAGGATGACAGTGCGCACACGTGTAAAGGAAAGGAATAATGTACCAGGATAATATAAATTATAATCTTTCAAGTGTGCCTTTTCTAAGCAAGACATTATAATGCAACTTTAATTAATATAGTGATTACAAGTCGTCATAATAAGGACTGCCATTCGGAATTATTTGCACGATTTCACTTCTGAAATGTGTTTCCAATGATAAAATTTTGCACTATAAAATAAATTTCAAACAAAGATATAATTAAGAAGACTGAATTATATCGTAGCATAATTCCCTTTAATAATTAATCAAAGACCTTCAGAGGATCTATCAAATAATCCTAGACTCGATCGACCTTTCCATTATTGAGCAATGAACATTCCACAGACACATTTGATGAATGTATAAATTATATCAGCTAGTCGGTCAAAGTAGCTCAAGATAATCGCACTTAATCTCGATGAGATTCACGGGAAGAGAAACGTTCATCACAGCAGCAGAGAGAATATGATGCGTTCTTGCGTAATTAACACCTTATCATTCTAAGTTTTTTATCTTCGTATACACTCTTGTGAAGATATGCGCATGCGCGCGTGTGTGAGAATTTCAATAGAAAAAAAATCATAATATATCCATGCGAGTAGCTGTATTGCACGAATATTTTTCCGGGCCACGGAGCTGGCGTAGCTGCATTGATTTTTACAGGATACAGGATAGCATCGCCGAGAGTTCGATGAACTATATCGTAAAGTGTACGTGGTGACGTAAGGATGACTGATTGATTACAGTTGTTATTCCTGTACACCGTACTTCAATATTGATTTCAACTTTGTATATATGTGCGCTCCCTTGGAACAAATTCAACGATTTTGTTCTTTTATTTTTCGTGTATTAAAATATCCAAAGCCACGCGTACTTGAAGGAAAAACTCAAGCGAATGTTTCTTTGCGCCGGATGTTGTTCCATTATCAACCGTGCGAGCGAGTTCGAATTGAAAAAATTGCGTGTCCTTGGAATACGTGATCGCTGTAATAAACCACTAGAGTCTAGCGCGGAAAGACTTTAATAAATTAATACATCGCTCCGTAGTCTGATTATCTTCTTCCTACTGCGATCTTTAGCCTTATTATCGGCTTTATAAGGGTCACTCGTAACTTTATAAAAATAAACGACATCACAGGCGAGAGATAAATTAGAAGAGTGCAACTTGATCTCATATCGCGGTGGCAAATTATACTTGCGGAAACACTCGAATCTCTCGTCATTAAGAGATATAAAGATGTGATTTGATGCAATTTATGAAACAGGACAATTTATTTAACAGTTACACGGCAATTTCAAGTATTACACGGAAAAAACAAATCTATTGGCATAATCAAATTTTCCGTTGCTTAGAAATCAGACGAAAGCTCCGTTGTAGAAATAGGAAGATTTCTGTATTTTCAATCGGTTGAGATAATTGAGAAGAATCAATTGCCTCAACCGAATTTTCACGCAATTGAACGTTTACACGAATTTTCTCAGTCACGGTCATAAAGTTTTTATTTGGTACCTATTCAGTTACAAAATCTAAGTTTCTTTCCATGTAGTTTGCGCGAACAATGTAAGAGACTGCATTTATTTGCGTGATAAAAGGAAAAGAAATAAATCGATCATAATTTTATGTTTTACAGGCGTGGAAGCTATGCAGTGTTATCAATGCAATAGTCGTAACAATAGCCAATGTGCTGATATTAAACCACCGGATACTATGAAAATAGATTGCTCGGATCTTAAGGATGGCGCAAAGTATACGATGTGTCGAAAAATCACGCAAGTTATTGAATTCAGCGTCAACGGCCGTATGTGTGTTAAAACATTACATTAAAACTGTCAATCGTCCTCTCTTTCGTATATAATTCGCGCGAGCGGTTTATTTTTGTATACGAAAAGATCTGATATTTTTCTTTATGCAGTACCACCTGATACGCGAGTTATTCGAGGATGCGGTTGGGACGAGTCAAATTATAAAGGCAAATGTTACCAACGAAGCGGATTTGGCGGTCGACAAGAAGTCTGTTCCTGTTTGACCGATTATTGCAACGCGGCAATGCCTGGAACATTGCCGGCTCGAAGCTTCGTCCTTTTATGCTCTCTAATCAGCGTATCGCTAGCGTTTCTGCGAAATTAGTCGTTCTTAAAAGACACCGGAGCTCAGCGTAGGAAACGAGTAAATGAGTAAAGCGGATGCTGTATTAGTGGTAGTAGGAAGATTAATATCAGCATGATTTTGCTGCTACAAATACGAACAATAGATTGTTATTACTAAGGTATACCAAAGCGGAGAAAAATGTCGGGGAAGCAATGTCTCAACATACAGAATTCTAATCGTAGAAGAAACAAGTGGCCTTCTGAGTTTATACATACATATATATATATATATTATGATGTCCAAACAGCGGTTTGGAAAAATATGACTTTTCAAATATGTACATTGTACCGAGATTATATCTTGACGCGGCGTAACTCGAGCTATACAACGATAAAATTGGCTTATTAATTAGCGAGTCATACCACTACTAACACGAACCAACTTGTCTCTATCTTAGATTTTCACTTTATATTTTTCTTCTTGATGATACACGGTTATGCAATTTAAGCGATTCGCACATGTAGATACAAGAAAGAGCTGTTTATTCATATCTTTAAAATTTATAATTATAATTTATAATTATAAATTTTCAAAATATATCGCAGTATACCAATAGGAGTTTCCTTGTAATGGTTTTTTGTATATATATCTAACAATTACATTACAATAAGGAAACATGTAATATGTATTAAAATTAATCGTAAGAGATATCTTATTGTCAATAAAAACTTATGTTAAAGTGAATGGACGTTTCATTTCGGAGCGCGCACACATACACACACACACACACACACACACACACACACACACACACACACACACACACACACACAGTGTTATATTTCTAAATTTCATCTTTTTTGTATCACACTTTTTTACTGACATGTGTAAGGTATGAATTTAGATGTAAATATTTCTTATTTAAAATAAAAGATGATGTGATAAAAATGTGATGATGTGATAAAAGATGATGTGAATAAAAAGTGATAATGCGAAGTATACAAGTGCACTGCTCACACAATTCTAAAATCACTTCTCTCGATAACGGTAGATAAGTAATATTTAAAACGTAGTCTACAATGGGTAGTAGGAATATATTCAGAAGTAAGAATAAGAAATTGACCAATCATTCGAATGTAAGTAGAATAATCGACTATGGTTAGTTAATTTTTCACTCATACTTTATATAAACATACTCCTACTGCCTATTGTAGATCACGTTTAACAGAATGTAACCTCCATAAAAATAATAATAACGAAACGATAAAAAAACATTTTATAGCGGAAAGTCTCTAATTTATATATATATTATCAAATATGAATTTTGATTATTTTTTATAATGTTGTATAAATATAAATAGAAATTTGTTGAACGTTAAAATATACGTATATGATCAAGTTTATCGTACTATGTTGCTTAAATAAATAATCACAGACAATTGGTATGTAGATAGTTTCAAAGCGTGAACCTTTCTCTTTAATTTGCATACCTGCATATTACGACTTCTTTTTACCAAGTTATTGAATATTGAAATAAAAATGTGTGCCATTTTGGTTTTGATCGTTTACAGAAGGAAAATTCTAATCAGTACACGACGTTTACTAAGAAATAAATGGAAAAATTAAATTTCATTCTTTAAAATACATCTACTGCGATTTTGATACAAGTAATTTTTCGAGGTAAATTTTCGACTGAAAAATAACGTTGAAAATTGTACTGTCGCCATTTTTCATTAAATTCGATATGTCTTGGCGAAAAATGATAGTAATATTACGATGCTGACAAGTATAAAAATATGAACATCAAACTTTAAAATGCTTCTTGAACCATCTTACTATTATTATTTTTACCGAAGTTAGAATTTGTTAAAGTCGCTTATTTTTATTATATGGACGTCTAACCCGCTGTTAAGTTAAAAAATGAAAATTCGTCTGTTCATTTGTTGAATCATAATAAGATTTCAATTCTTTGTGAAGGAAAGCTGCGTTCATATTTGCAACTCAGAGACATCGTTTGCTCCGATTGCTCAAAGAAAGTCGTTTCATTGGCTAGATATTATCTTCAGATAATCTTAAGAACAAATCGATGTTTCCGATTCACAAAACCGAACATAGCTAAAGTAACGACTTATAGCAGAGACTTTAGAACTAAATGTGACGTAAATAGCAAAAATAACAGGTCCAATAATTGCAAAGGGTCAAAGTTGGTTAATAACTGGCGCCCTTTCTCGGCGTAAAGCAAAACGTCATTCTAAAAAGGGTGCGAGTCTCGGCTAAGTAGTTGATAAATGATGATTGTAAAAGGTTTGAGTCTGGACATGTGATGTTTATAATTATGGCATTTTCGATTTGCTGACTCGACTTGATAATTTTTGCAGTACAGCAATCTATAGTTTATGTTATATATATTATAGTTTGCAATACTTTAGCGAATACCAGAATGAATCGGGTCGCGTCAACAAATCGAAAACGCCGCTAGTGTCAAAAGTTCTCATTCTCTCTTTTATCGATAAAAATGCCTTAAATGTGGCTTCTTAGCCAATCAGATGGTTCCAACGCCACTTTTAGACTATGTTCAAAAACACCATATTGAGGGTAGAATGACATTTTATTGACCAATAATGATAAAGAAATCTTTGTTCTTTTTGTCACAATTGGTCAATTAAATGACACTCTACTCTCAGTGTGATATTTCCGAACATAGCTTTAGAGGCACTTTTATCAATAAAAGTAAGTTCAGAATATGGATACCATAAGCTGATATTCATAATCGAATTTCTTATATTTCGTAGCCAATAAAATGAATCATAGAACATCTGAAGATAAATTTGAAACGGTCTCATATATAAGATTCAACTAGGGTTTTTTTATTGCTGCATTGGCTGCACTAGTTTGCAGTGATCTCTTTTCCTCTCTTTCTTGAGATTTAGTAGGAAAAAGAGAAAAAAGAGCAGTCAGTGCAGCAATAGAAAACAGACCCTATGAATATCGGCCATAGATCGGTATTCACAGTCGAATCTTATATTTAAATCCGTTTTAAGTGTATCTACAGATGCTTCGTAGCCAATGAAATAAGCCGTGCAGTATCTGAAGATAAACTTAAGACGGTCTTATATATAAGATCCGACTATGATAGTCTTCATTATGAGAAATTGAAATTGTGGTACAACTCAACGAAAAATCAGACTATTTCGAATTTCTAAGTGATAGGATTCAACGGTAAAACAGTCATATATTTACCCTCATGCAAAATATACAAAATTTAACAATCTATATAATTTTAGTAAAAACGAAGACAATGAGATGATTCTAAAAGCATGTCAAAGCTTGAAATTCTTATTTTTTAAGTATGTGAAGATCATAACATTCTCATTGTTTTTTGCCATGATATACTGAATTAAATAAACAGTAGCAACTGCTATATTTTCAACGTCATCTTTCAATCGAGTCTTTATCTCAAAAAATTAATGATATGAAAATCGCGATAGATGCGTTTTAAAAAGTGAACTTTTGCTTTCTAGTCGTTTTTTAGCAAACATCGTACATTGATTTGTTCGCTTTATATAAATGGTTAAATTCGAAACCGCATTGTTGTTAAAATGTTTAATAATTTTGTGGAAAATGTCACAAGCGCAATATGCGAATATGTGCCAATTAAAGAGGAAGATTCACATTTTTAAAGTTGTCTAAATGTCATTTGTAATGTTTCATTCAAGTTGTATAATTCGACAAATTTCACGAAACATTTTAACATTCAACGAATTTCTATTTATATCCCTACAATATTGTGAAAAGTAGATGTATATTAAAAATAGATCTATAAATTAGAGACTTTCTGCTGTAAAATAGTTCTAGAATCATCTTGTTATCATCATTTTTATGGAAATTACAAACCTTCGAATTTTGCTTACCTATCGCCATCGAGAGAAGTGACGTTTGAATTCTTGTGAATATTCACTTGTAAGATTATCAGTTTTTTAAGTTTTAAACTAGCGGTACTTACATTTACTTTAAATCAATTTACAATCAGTTTAAATTCAAATTTTGAAAATATTGATGGTTGTTAAGATGTTGAAAAAGAAATTTAATAGCGAAATATTTTTACTGCTTACACAAGATATTTTTTTATTAATAACAGCATATCTCTCGTCGCTAAATTTATTACGCATATCTTTTTATCAAATCAAAAAAAGAAAACCAAGAACTGTTGAATAATCCAGAGAAAAAGAAATCGTAATATCTAAAGTGGGACACTCGGTGCAATGTTGGTGGATCGTAGACGTACGTTAACATTTACAAAGCACGCTTAGACGATAATAAATTACAACCTAACCCAGCGCAAACATATGATGACATTTCAAAATGACGTCTTTACGTCATTATTAATACGTCATTAATATGTCACTTATACGTAACTATGTTCGCTGGGAAATTATATCGATTATGAGCGGCCGGGTATACTAAGGACATCCCCGCGAATCCCCGTTAACTTCCGTTATTGATTACGTTTCACATGTTAATTCGCTAACGACCGTAGTAATATCAATAAATGTAAACGAGGATAGAATGACGCTTTAGCGCAGATAGCGCGCTATCCGAACGCACCCTAAACCGGATTAGCGGTGTCGTGTAAAACGTAATCTCTGCGGTCGAGCGCGAGACTCGCGAAACGGTGCGCGGTTCGCTCTCTGTCCTTCCGAAGGTAACAATGAACGATCAGTAACTAAGCGGCGAGACGTCGCGCGGCGCACCTCGTCGGTGCGAGAGTAAACACGAAGCGGAGGCGCGCACACCTCGTGCACGCTCTCACTGGCACGAGCCGTGGCGTCGCGAAAAATTGCCCTCGTACGACGGCCAGGACGAGGAGAACGAGAGGAAAGGGCAGGATAGGCGACGGGTGGCCGCGTCGCTTCGCGGGTGTGTTCGTATGTGTGTGTGGTAGAGTCGGAGCCCACTACGAGGGAGAGAGAGAGAGAGAGTTACGGCGAGCAGCGGCTGCATCGGTGTCGTCGTCCGTGGCGCGATCCGCCACGGGACGTCGCTTAATGTGCGCGAGCCGGGCGTGTGTTGTTGTCAGTACGCTCGTGCCAGCGGGCGCAGCAAATGCGGTCGGTAGCCGTCGTAGCGGCGACGCAGCCACCGCGAAGACCGCAGCAGGAAGATGTCAAACGGCGGCTCGTCGCTGTGGTCCGAGCGACTCGTGAACGGTGAAAAAAACAGCATCGACGCCACCGGCGCTGTCAGTGGCAGCATCGGCGGTGGAGGAAGAGGAGGAGGCTGTGTGGGTGGTGGTGGAAGTGTCTCCTCCGGCGTCAGCTCTCGCAGCGGTGTTGGTGGTGGTTGTGACAATATTGCGGACAGTGGTGGTAAGATCGGCGGCGTCCCTCCTGCCGTCACAGTTACTGCCGCTGTTATCGGCGGCGGTGGCGCCGCGGACGGCGGTCTGACGTTGCTCGACGCCCGCGGCACGACGCCAGCGGTGAACCGCCGTCGTGAGGCAACGCGTATCGGCGACTGCGACGACGCGAGGACAGGCCGGCGCCTCGAGTCGGTGATCCTTCAGACGACGACGCCGCCGACGACGACGGCGAATGCCGGTAACAACGCGAGTATAGTTAGCGGCACCAGCGCGAGCACGCTCGCCGCGGTCGTTGTCGTCGACACCGCGTCAACATTGTTCGACGACGACGACATCGTCGACGACGAGGAGGAGGAGGAGGAGGAAGACGTCGGGGACCGTCACTATCGGCACAAGCGCGGCATCATGGTCGCGGCGATGAACGAACACCTGTCTAACACGACGACGACGTCGTCGCCGGCGAACGGCGCCCGCAGCACCTCCAGCAGCACCGTCGCCACGCTGTCATCGTCCTCGAGCACCAGCAGCGCGATCGTCAACACCAATTCCTCGGCGAGCACGACGACGAGCACGGCGATCAGCACCGCCGGTGTTGTCGGCATCGCCACCAACAATAACAACAGCTGCGGCAACGCGCGCAGCCAGGAATTCCAAGATATGGACGGCGACGACATCGGCAAGAATGTCGTCGCCAGCACCACCACCGGACCCGCCGGCATCCTCAGTTTTCCCTGTGACTTTGACCACATGTATGCGAGCATGACGGATGGCGGCACGCCGGCTGCTGCGACTGCCTCCGCCGTTGCCGCGGCTGCTGCTCTCGGGGTGAGCCCCCTGCGTGGCAACGAACCTCGTCAGAACGACCTCACCGAGGTCAAGCACCTGAAGGAGCTGTTGTTGCTACACTTGGATCTCATCCAACAGCAGTCCGAGCAGATCGTCACCAAGGACAAGCTCCTCGCCGCGCTACGCCAGGAAAACGAGACGGTACATACACGCGCGAACAGTTGTGCGCTTGCTTGCTCCTTCGCTTCCTCTCTCTCTCTCTCTCTCTTCGCTCCACTCCCCACTCTTTCTCCCCCTTCTTTTAGCCGGTGAATGAACGCACGCGGAGGGAATTGGTCTGATTTTTCCGCGCTCCCGGCGAGAACGCCGTCGAGTTGAAGGTGTGGAAGTGCATTCCGCGTGCTCTCGCGATCATGCTGGAAAAATGGAACACTAGTCACTAGGGAACGGCTCCGAAGATGATGTAGAAGACGAAATCTTTTTTTCCCTTTGTCATACACACACACACACACACACACGTGATGTTTTGCTTCTTGCGAGTACCCGTTTCTCGTGAAAAGTACGGATCTTGAAATAACATTTGCGTTCTGAAATGAGCGATCGTTTAATCTCTTTCCCGCATTTCTCGGTGCGTCGGTTTTCATTGTTACGCGAAAGCGATCTACGATTTGAGAAACAAACGACTTACCTACCTCTTTGATGCTTTTTTCCATTTTCCTTTAATTAAACATTCCATCATGTCATTGTGATAACACGGGTGAGATAGAATGGTGGGAGGCTGTAAGAAATATTTTCAAAATAATAGTTATCGACGACCGACAGATTCGATTTCGTAAGATGAAGCTCGTCTTTGATTTCTACCGTCTCTTTTGTTTCAATTTTTTTAGTCGAGGACCCATTTTATTGCGGAAGACGCTTGTACGGGAGTTCTCAAAGTTCATTTGTCGTTTTAATTTAAATCATACCGCGCCCTGTCGATCGCGAAACGTGATAGAGCGGAGTGAAGTGAGCGGCAGTGAGTCATCGAGCGCGTTTTCAATCCCGATTCGTCCTCCGCTGCAATTTCACTTCGCTATCTGATTTTCGCGTAAGTGCGTAAGCCGTGACAATTGCGTCATATGTACCTTAAAGAAGATGCGAGTGTCGAAATGCAAATCTAGAGGCGGAGCTAAAGAATATTCACAACAATTCGACGTAAATATGATCTTTCACAATGTAGAAACAAAATAGTGTAGAGCAATTACAACAGTGGGTCCCGATCCCATTTAAAGTGCACACATGTCCTTTGTTCCTTTAGTTCGCAAAACGCTCGATTGTCGAGTCCACTTGCAAAGGATATAAACAAAACTCCGTATATGTTATGGCTTTTCACATTCTCGACTTGTTCTCGAATCGCACATGAGTCGAAAGAAAGAGTGAAGGGGGGGGGGGAAGGGATTGTGGTCATAAATGTCACACAGTTGAAACGTCGGTCTACTCTCTGCGCCGTTGTCGGCGACATCGATCGTAATAAAAAAAAGTCGGAGCGCACCACCCTAACCTAACCTAATCTAAGCCAACCCTATGTGCGAGCGAACGCGTTCACAATCTTTCTCGTTATCCGCTGCGGAATGCCGGCGACGATGGATCCGACTTTGTCACCATTTTGTAAAAACGTGCTCTTCGCACATGTTCGCGAATGTCATCCCCTTTCTTTCCCGCTCTTCCCTTCTAACTTGAACACGCCACGCGGGGAACAGGCCAAGCGTGAAGGTCAACTGCGCGTGGTCGACACGTGGTGGCGCTACTTCCGCATTGAGACCGCGCATATTGCGAGCGAGAAAAGAAGTGGGACAGAGCGAGACAGGCAGATATGCGTGTTTCCTTCGCGAGGGAGAACAACGTTCTTCTCGCTTTCGCGTGCTATCATGATTTGAAAATGACAGTTAAAGCGGGGGATGAAACGGAATTGCTCCGTGCGACGGAATAGGCGGTGTCGGATGGTCGGAGGACCACTCCGGGTCGGTTTGCGCCAACGAAATCGCGTTCGAGTTGAATGTTTCGCGTTGATCGGCGTGAATGGTGGAGCGCGGGGAATTAACCTCTCTGATTTCGCGCGAGAGACGATAAAGACGGCGACGCGATTAAGGAAACAACTCGACATGACCTACTGCTCGAAACAGCGAGTCTTGCACAGACCGTACACGAGAAGTGTAAATAGCGTTTGATTCCTCGTACATAGGCAATAGAAAGCGGTAGATATATGCATGTATGTTGTCTGTTGCAGTTGAAACTACGCCTGGAGCGTATGGAAAGGAGGGTGAACCTGCAGAAACTGAGGTCTGAATGTAGTAGCGAGAATTCCGCCGAGCATCTCGGCACATGTTCGCCGCCTGGTGTTAATACGGTGAACACTGCGTCAACCAGTGAACCGCATCGAAATGTGCAATCCGAGAGTGGTAACACTTTACACGAGAGCTTTAAGATACGTCTGAATACCAGCGGTGGTATCACGACTGTTAAGCAAGAACCTCTGGATAATCAAATCAAGCACGAGGTAAAGCAAGAGGCTAGCGACACCAGGTTCGAGTGGGAGGAGAAGAAGAAGAGACGATCGGACCCAACTCCATTGTCAACGGGCAGTAAAAAGAAGAGAGGGTTGTCTTGCTCATCCACCATTAATATTGACGCGTCCTCCAATGTACAGGATAAGGTGTTGACTTCATCACACGAGCCCATTAGAAAGAATGACAGAAAGACAAAATCTCTTGCAAAAAAGGAATCCTTTCTTACGACAGAGGAACATTATTACACTGCTGTAGGGGATCCGAGTTATACCTTAAGTCTCAAACAATCCAGTCCAGTAGAAACGTGTAATTCTCTAGAAGTTCCAAATTGGAGGGTAAAAATATACACAAGTTGTTACACAATGGAGGGTACTGAAAATTTGGACGATGAGATTTTTAACAAAAGACATTTGAAATTGGAGAACGACGAGAGGAGAAGGAAACGATGGGATGTGCAGAGGATAAGGTTTGTAGAATGCGTTTCTCTCATATGTCATGATGCAACTTGTATCCTGATGTTATCATAAATTATCATGATTAGGGAACAAAGGCATATAGAAAAGTTAAAGCAAAGGCAAGAACGTCAAAATCATCAAGCCACGTGTTACAATACCAATCATACCGGCCCTTGTCCCTCGTCCCTGGAAGAAGAAACAATAACGTCCTTGTGGCCTGACGTAGATCAAATTCAAAGTCTCCAAGTGGATCCTCATTTGCCAGTAACTGCATTTGGCACCCCTATTCCTAGTTTTACTCCAAGGTAAGTTTAACATATATATATGATATATATATATATATATATCTTGCAAGCCCTCTTATGTATGATACTTCAGTTGTGTATTTTATAAACAGTATGACATACAATCGCTGATTTCTTTTTCTCTTTTCCAGTGAATTTTCCTTACCTTGGTCGAACACAACGCGAATAAAGTGTCGACGCCCTAAACGTTCAACAAGTAGAAGAAAATCTACAGGTAGAAGAAAAGTCTAGGAGATAAATTTTTATAAAAATGGACAGAACTGATTTTATCTGGACCGTCGGTTTTAAATCTTGAGAATAGTATTGCTCCCTCACCACACATTTGAATAAGTGTTCTTTTTTTTTCTTTTTTTTTTTTCATTACAACGCGAGATATATAGGGGCACCAAAGATATTTTTATTAACTTTTTAAACGTCTGCAATGTATACAGCAGGTATATAGTTTATTCTTTTCTACATTTTTGTCGATTAAGTAAATTCATCGTCAATACTTGTTTGATACATCTATTCTACATTTTGTACTCGGTGTTGGTCATTTTATTTATGTAACTATGAATATGTATCACACAATGTAACGAAAACGATGTGACAGTTTGCGAGTGTATCAAACACTTGAATAAGATCAAGAGATTTTTGTTTCAATCAGTTGATGTGACTGATATTTGCAGTGTTTGCCGGTAACTAGTTAAAATTATTTAAATAATCATCCAGATGAATAAATTGATCATCTTTATCTAGATGGAAGAAAAAAAAATATATTCATCCTCATCTTAGGTAAAAAAACATATTATCTCATCTAAAAATTATCTGAAATGATGTTATGGTCCATATTCTGAACTCACTTTTCGATAAAACGAATGAAATAATATGGACCTATGCATTAAGCCTGTATCAGGCTAGGAAATGGAGATTAGATTTCACAAATCAACAAATTTCGGTTTTATCTTCTTTGGTTTGTTCTTTTTAGCTGAACAGATGCAACTAAAAGGAACAGACCATTTGTTTCAACTGATCAATCCACTTTAAGCCCATATCAAACTGTGATCGATTGTGAAGACCAGCCCGATTACCGATTACGACTGCCAACTCTTACCAATTACAATAGACTAGTTACATGACACTTTACTATGATAGGCCCTTCAAGAATCGAGAGTTATAACCGTTAGTCAGATTGGCCTTCACAGTCAGTAGTCTGATATGGGCTTTATAGAAGACTGAAATAATGACTGCGTTCAGAAAACACATTAGTGAACAGTCAATGTTTATTGGACTTTGTTAGATCCTTAAATTTAAAGCAATTACGTTGATGAATTACTTAACTGTTGTGCAATTTTATGATCTGCATAATTTTTATTATAAATTTTTATAAAGTCTCTTATGAAAACAATATCATCTAAAAAATTATCTAGGTAAGTAGCAATACTTATCTTTCATCTAGATTAATTAAAAGCGAAATTCTCTTCGCCTCATCCAAGATGAATTTTTCGGATTTTCATCTCATCTTTATTTAGATGAATCTGAAATCATCTAAGGCAAGCACTGGATATTTGCAATTTTCTTTTTTCTTCTTTTTTTACAATTATACGGAACAATTTATATGAATTTTGCAACCCAATATGTTTTCTTGCTATTGTAAAAATCGCTGATGGAATTACCATGTATACTGAAGGCATATACTTGGTAAAGAGAAATATCTTATTAAAATGATGTTATATAAAACGCGAAAAAAAATATAATCAATTTTTAAATCTTGTGTAGCCCCTTTTTTGGCGTTTTATAAATTCTGTATAATAGCTTTAGTGACGAAAGACGTCACTGTTTCTTAAAAAGTTGCGCATCATTGCGAACGGATCGCGTTTGGTTAACTCCAAAACTTACAGTACAAATATATTTATTGTACAGAGTGTCTCAGAAAATGCGCGCTTCCTCTCAGTGACAGATTCTCTGACGAATTTATGGAGTTGACGTCTCTTTCTGAAAAATTTGAAGGAAGGCCTAATTGTAGAATGTAATCTTGTATATTTTTTAAGTTTAAGCTATAATCTCCAATGAATTTCATTTTTAAGAGATATTTTACTTCGGAACGAATTGTTGATATATTAACTGGCGAAAAGAAGTTGGATGGGATGGAAGAAAATCACGTCTAGAAAATCTGTAACTAAAAGAAATTGAGCGCCTTTTGATACAACCTGTATGTCGTATATCTATTATATTACGAGTAAGGATCTGCAAACCACGATTTACAGCTGTAAGCGAACTCGTTACAGCGTCCGTTACCTTTGACGATTCCCAAGTGGTACACTGTATCGAGATTCGAATGTAATTCTTCGGTCACAGAAGCGGACAGGAAGGAACTTCGGATATTATAAACGAATGTAAAATCACCGATAACTAGTGGCCCAAGTTTTGACGACCCGAAGTACGAGATTCCTTAAAATAACACGCGTTTTCTAGCACAATCAGTTCGATTAAGCGTAAAGTTAAGTCTACTGTCTTCGTGCTTCGAATTATTATATTATTGGTAAATAAAATTTATACGTATATTAGTTCTTACGGATTTCCATTCGTGCTATCTTCAAACAGCGTTATCGATCCATCTATCGTTAATCATTTCACGGAGGACAGCTAACAGAAGCTCTGCGAATGGCGTCCTAGATTTGTGATAATTCCGACTTTACATTTGCATTGTAGAAAGAAACTGTGGTATTACGAATATAAGGAATCAATGTGTGAATAATAGTTTTCGAGCAGATAACAACACATTATTTTCGCATATTTAAATATGCTGTGTCACATAATTTTAAGACGCCGTCTGACGTAATAATTTATCTCGGCTTGGATGAAAGTTTGAGGAAAACCGTACACGTCTTTTCTCGAAGAGATATATGATTTTCGAAGTTTTTCTTTTTTTTATGTCTTACTTTTTAAGATATATGTATACAACAACTGACATATTCTGTAAGATAGTGTATTAACCGTCCATGAAAACCATTAGAATTTCATGAACAAAACGGCATTTTAGATGCTACGATACTACGAATGTAATTACCGACACCTTGTAAAAATGACGATTTTTCTAGCAGGAATTACCGATTGAGTTCTTAGTACATCTACAAGTATAGACTACGCGACTGAGAAATACATAAATTATTATTTTCTAACATACGGCATTATTTTCTAACGGCAGATATATTGTGTATGTCAGAAGTTGTATGAAAGTTTTTCTGAAAGAGGTATGGAGGATAAGACCAGCCTCTCTAATGTCAGATCTGCCTTAAACGTCCTGCTATGTATATAACATCGAGTACATTTTAGAAATAAAAAAGAAGAAGACATTGAATCTCGATGAGCCTGTTCGATGTGCATAAATTCTCGAAACCAGACGTTTAGGAACGATAAGAAGATTTGTTGCTTGCGAAGTTCTCGCACAATGGAACATTGTGTGTGTGCGTGCGTGCGTGGGCGCGCGCGCGCGCTATAATTGCATCTCGACTCACTCAACTGACTCGTCGTCGGCGCCCTCCTCCCTTTTCTACTATATATTTCTTTAAAACCTTCCCCCTCCGTTTCCATTCTCGCCACGTGCCGACTGATCATCACTTCGAGGTATTGACTAACCTATGTAATTAAGACCATTACGCGCAGGTGGAAGCGCGACGGGCGGGAGCGCTGGAGGTTCAGAATATGGGAAATTAATCGTTCAAACGACTAATTAACGAAAAACCTTTCATGTTCTCGTTTATTCTATCCCCTCTTTTTTCTCTACTACTATTTTCCTTCTTTTCTCTCTCCTTCTCGCTCGCCTCTTCTCTCTTTCGGCATTCTTCCGCTTCGCCTTTGGCTACTGTCGAAGAACTCGTTACCCGTGAAGCAGAGGTGCATCCGTTGCCTTATCGGACCTCGCGTAATTCGATGCTTCTCTTTATGATGTATCTCTCATCCCCTTTTTCCCCTCTCCCTCTCTATCTTCTATCTTCCTTCGCCTCTTTTCTCTTTCACATCTCCACTCCTCCCGATCAATCTGCCTCGTCTCCCACAGTCCTTAAGCTACGTTACCGGCACTGTTCCATATACCCACTCTACTCCTCACCTTTCCCTTATTTCCTCCCAGGAGCACTCGCGTAGATGTTCCGGTTATTAAAAGAAAATTAATTAATTAATTAATTAACGGCAGCATCACTTTTATCAGCGCTACATCCGGAGTGTCCAATAACGCTCCACGTCGAGCGAATAAAGAAGGGGGCGAAACGGAAAGCCGCGGAAGAGATCGAGGGCTGAACACTTTTCACTTGACAGCCACGCTATTCGGACGTTTGTTTCGCACCCCCTCTAAAAATCGTGACCTGAAGTTGTATTTTTATTTCACGTGCTAGGCACATCCCGCGGTTTCGTGTGCCGATACCAGTGCAATCTAACTTTCCCATCTTGCTCAGTGCCAAAATTCTAAAAATCACAGCAAGTGCCCGTGCCGTGAACAAAATTTCGAGAAGTGCTGCAAGTTGCGTTATTCTCTGCGTAGAACATTACTGCAACCTCCATTCCGCCGTCGGCATGAGTGCTCGCCTCTCTCCTCTTCTTCAATAGGTACTCGCCTGCGCGCCGTGTCACTCAACATTGTAAGTCACATAATTTTGTCACTCGAGGTGTAAAGTCCGATTTGCGCGCCGCCTCGAATTTTTACTTCAAGACTTTTGTTTTTTTGCTTTTCGGGTGAATTAAGTAAATTGTTTATTTTATCTAAATTCGGTTATTCTCTACCACTTCTCAATCGCCAACCTTTCGCGCTTTATCCCTCGTTAGAAAATGAACATTGCAAGGGCATCCAAGCGAATTTAAAACACAGCTCGACCAATAAGTTTGTAAAATACGGTGGAGCTGCTCCCGCCGAGTGTGTCGTGATTCTCGGGAACGTGACAAAATGTGTGTGTGTGTGTGTGTGTGAAGCAAGCAGCAGCAAATGAAAAGAGACCGAAAGCGGAATTACGTATTATGAAGATAGCGTTGACATAGAGGGAGCAAATACTGATAAGTAGTTTGTTCTTTTTAATTGTACCAGTTCAGTAGTGCAGCTAAAAAGAACAGACCAAAGGATATGAACGTACAAACTTGTCCATTTGGGGATATCCCTAGAGTCCTCAAAAATATATAAGGTTTATGAATATTCAAACCAGAAACAGATATCCATAGGAACCCTGTGCTGTCTGGGATACTAAAAAATATTATATAACATTCTTAGAATATTGTATTATATATTTACATTATAAGAATATTCTTTTAATACTGAATAATATTCATATAATATTTTATGTATGAAATATTTTTTAACAGGTCACAATTATAATAACTATAATAAAATCGACATTATTGCATGATCTCATATTTTAATCTATTAACATAATGTTACAAGTGTAAGCATTAGTATTGGTTATTAATATAACATTGCGGGATTCCCAGATATCAAGAAGTCTATAAGTATACAACATTTAATATTACAAATAATTATAATATTGCCGTTTATGTTATGCCGTTTTCGTGATTTTCTCCGTTTCCAGTTTTGGTAGCCGTTATTAAGCGTTCTTGTCCTTCAAATCTTTTACGGCCTTTTCAACGATAGCGTTCCAGTCTTCGGGTTTATTTTGTGTATACCAGTCTGTTACCTTGTCCAGATTTTCCTTTTGCTTCTCAGTGCATTTCTGGCATTTTGTTACTATAGCTTCGCTTATAAGATCTGAAAACAAGACAAAAATGTTCAGTACTTCCCCTATAAGCGCGTAATATCTCCCAATAATGTAAAATCTTAGAATATTATATGAATATTATTAAATATTAAAATAATATTCTTATAATATTCTAAGAATATTACGCGCTTAGAAAATGTTATGTAATATTTTTTAATATTATAGGAATGTTATATTGATGTTATATATCTACTTCACATAATATTCTTGGCATATCATAAAATGTCCTTAGAATATAAAAAAAAATAAAATAATAATATAGAAAAAATATTTAAATATAATACTAGATGTACATATTAATTCTCGGCCCTAACATTAAATCAATTGTAACATTTATTTAAGTGGAAAATTTTTGCCGCCAACTTTAGGGCTGTATAGTATCAATATAATAAACCATAAAACCGGAATATATAGTTGACATAACCTCAAACAATTCACTGTGAACACAGTAAACACGATAGCGTCTGACAAGCAACACATTAGGCACTGTTTGCTCTTCGCATTTCAGTTAAAAAAAAACACGTCCGAGGTAAAGAAAATGATTTGTGAGGAAGAAAGTGTCTTCTAGCATGTGTAAAAAGTGGTTCCAGAGGTTCCGGAATAGAAACTTTAACCTGGAGGATGACGAACGTCGTGGACAACTCAAAAAGATGGAAGATGACGATTTAAAAAAGCTGCTGGCCGAAAACCCATGTCAAGCCCAAGCAGAATTAACTGCAGCGTTAGGAGTTACCCAGCAAACCGTTTCTATTCAGTTAAAAAAGCTGAGTAAAATTTAAAAAAGGGTCATTGAATTTAAAAGACTTATGACCACCTTGACATTACCGTTAATGCAAAAATAATACTGAACTTGCACAAAGAAATAAATGATAATGTGATAAAAGTAGAATACTTTGTGTATATAAATACTTTTATAGAACTTCATATTCTCTGTCGGGCATGGTCCTTGGTCCATAAAACAGCTGTAATATTCGTTCCGCAATCTTTCGTTCTCGAGGATACCACTGACATCGATGTCATCATATTTATCGGAATATAATTCTTCGGCTGTCAGGACAGACACCAATGCAATCCCAATGATCGCCACAATACTGATTAATCGAGCCATCGTGTATTCTCAGCCTAAGTCGTAGCAGAAATATAGTGTCCAAGTATTCAATTTAACTAGTAGGATTGTTCAATAACATTGCAATATATAGGCGTCTTTTAGCATAAAAACCGTTCTACGATTATATAAGATAACGAGTAAGGAAACCTGTATATCGATAAAAATCTATTACATCGCGAGACAGACGGAAAAAATCTGTATCCACTTTTTATATTGTAGGTAACAAGAAACATGATTATACAACACAGCTTATTTCCAAATGATACATCTCTATAAGCGTAATATTCCTAGAATCTTATATGAACATTTATTAAGAATTAAATTAATTCTTATAATATTCTAAGAATGTTATGCAATATTTTTTTAATACTATAGGAATGTTTTTTGAATATTAAATAATAATACATAGAAAAAAAATTATATATATATAAATAATTAAAATATATAATAATTACAAAATCTGTGAGGCGTTTCGTAATGTCTGAAATATTCTTATCGAAACAACCCTTTTACATATAAAATCTAAATTTAGGGATCTAACAGCAATAATCATTGAACGCTTATTGGTCGTTTGTATTTTATGAACGCAGCATGTTTACGGTCCTTCGGTTGTCAGTGGCGCACTTATCTGTCGGACAAGTTAAACTGACAAGCGGAAGTAGGAGGCTTGCTCTTGAAAATTGCCTCGCCTGTACAAATAATACCAAGCATTAGCCTAACTGTTTCTTGGGAAACAATTTAAATTCACACGATACAATATATGATTAATTAGATAGACAGATAGATTATATATTGTGACGACGCAAATTTTCGTTCGTCACTCGGGCCGTAGCCTGGCCGAGGAGGAGCTGGAGGCTCGCGCTCGTAAGAGAAGGCGACCGAGTTACAGATTTTTTATTTTTGCGCCGTTTGTGCACAAGACATAATCCGCGGCTATTATAATTTTTTTTAAGTATGAACACCCGAGCCAGAACACCGGAGGAGAGGAGGCAGAGAGGAAACGGAGCTGCCGGCAGGAGTCAAGGACGAACGAGAGCAAGGGTCCGGAAGGAACGGCTAGAACGAGACGCGGAGGAACGGGGAGACCTTCGCCCGGACGGATGGTCGGCGACTGATAGCGGGATGGCCACTTTGCGTTAAGAAAGGCGCAAGGTCCCGCGACCCGGTCGCAGAGCAGGCAGGGAAAGATCCCGCGGAAAGCGCGCCCGGGAGCCCTGTGAACTACTGCGAACCCTATAGTTGCCGAATGCCGTTCCGGGGAAAGAACAAGCATAAACAAGCGTCGAGAGAGCAACAACAGACGCGAGGTTCTGCGCCCTTGATATGTGTGATCTAGTCGGAAGGACCAATCGGAGGCCGCATTGAATAGCGTGACAGATTTTTGCGGCGGCTGCCTCTTGAGCTACGTGACAAAAATCCTTCTCGTCACTGTGCGGCCCGACGGCAAGCTAACTGGACGTCCGAGTGAGCGTGCGAGCGAACGAGAAAAGTTGCCGTGTCCAAGGGACGAGATCCAGAGGAGGAGAGGCGAGCTGCCGGTGGCGAGTTGGTAAGCGAAGACTATGTACAGCCGCGAATAGAAGAAGTAGAGTTGCGAATTAACCCCGAGTCGGTGGCCGTCGCTTCCCGACGGCCGAAGAGCGATAAGAGTACCGGGAAGTAAACTCGTTGGAAGTTCGGGGTGCCCGGACTTACGAGAATTAAGGGCCACGTCGTAGGGCGACAAGAGCCGGGCTCGAGAGCGTCTCGAGCGTAAGGATCCCGGAGACTCGGGCGCCTCTTCAAGTCGCCGGTCGCACAGTCATCGTAGATTAGAAGTCCCGAATGCATGTATCGGAGCTTACGCGGTAGGATAAGTAGAGAAGTACATAGAGACTGCTTCCGGCGAACGGGCACGTTCGAAAGTACCGAATCGGCCGGGGGCGGAAATTATTGCCGGGAAAGACCCGGCTGGCGCCCAACGAAAAACCCGGCGAGATTCGACGCGTCCGAATATCAAGGAAGAACGTGAAGGAACCACGATGTTCTATCACGCGGAATAGCGAAGGATTCGACTCGCTATAAGATTATTAAAAATTGAACTAGCTGAGATGGACTCGCTGCCGCGTAAAGGCGGGAGCGAAGAAGTCTCGCAACCGACGTTGACGCGAATTGCAGTGGATGTAATAATAGACATATTTGAATAATGACATGGTACGAATATGACTAAACATTAAATGAATTCGATTTATAGATCTCGCTACAGTCCTCTTTCAACAAAAACTTCATTATCATGAAGTAGCGTGATTGAAAATTTCAATTATTCATGAAGTAACGTCATTGAAAATATATTATATCAAGATATGTAATTAGGTAACAGCCCAGACAACACATGATATCATAAAAAAATGTATACAATAAAAAATTTGATGTTGAATTTAACACATTTCACATGTCCAAAACGATCTTTATTCAAAAATATTCATATATAATAATATAATTATATAATATGTAGTCATGTAAATATGCATAATTATGCATAATTATATTAAATTATGTATAAAATTTGTCTATACATAATTATTTAATCATACATATTTATTACACATCATATAATATTAAGTGATATTTCTGGAAAATTAATAGATAGTTATATGTCCAATTCTAATAATATTAAAAAANCATTTGTTTTATTATATAAATAAAGTCGAAATAATTTTGTGTAAAAATGTTTTATATAAAAAAAACTACACATAAATATATTTATACATATAATATATGTATATATATTTTTTTATTTATATATATTTTTCTATATTATTATTATTTTATTATTCTTCTAATATTCTAAGAACATTTTTATAATACGCCAAAAATATTAAATAAAGTGGACATATAACATTAATAGAATATTCTTATATTAAAAAATGTTACATAATATTCTAGGAACATTACGTACTTGTAAGGATTATGTATGATTAATATTAAATAATTATATATAGACAAATTTTATATATAATTCAGTATAATTATGCATAGTTATATGTTTATAAATGATTATATGTGAAATATTTTTTAAGGCTCAGCTTCCTCCGTTAACCATATTGGTTTTGTGACGTTATCAGACGAGAAATCTTGTTACGGGGCCATCTTCCGTGTAGCCGGGATGTGGCTCGCCGGAGCCCAAGGTTCGGTATATAGGGATGGGGGAGGAGGGAGAGAGAGAGAGTAAGAGCTAGAGTGTTCGGTTGCAACTCCAAGTATATTTGGCCGGCGTGTACACTATTTACAGCTTTGAGGGATAGGAAGTGCCAGATAACGAGGCGGTCCTCTCGGGACGAGGTGTGTGCTGACACGTTGGTTCTCGGCGGGAGTTCGAGAGCCGAGTGGCGTGTCGATGGGGCACGGATACAGCGGTGCTTTGGCTGATTGGTGCCTAGGGCGTCGGCGCTGGACAAGCGGTGACTCGACTCAGCTTTTACAACCAGTATGGAGCGGATCGGCTCGTGAAAATGGACTGGCCTTGCTGCTGCCTGGCGGCGATGCGGTGCACACTACCTTCGAATGGTAATGATGCAGCTACGATGGGGAGACCTGCCATTGCCGGTTAGTTTACTACCTGGCATGAACGGTGGAGGCGATTGCCGATACCGGTTGATCGAGCCTCGGCGGTGGAGAGAGCGACCACCAATACCGATTGGTCGACTTTCATGCAGGAACGGTGGAGAGGATCACCTGACACCGGTTGATCGGCTCTCGTCGGTGGAGCTGGCTTCCGTTCCGGTCGCCTGCTCGGTGTTCTCTTTGTGGATTACTCTTGCGAGCTCACCAGAGAACGAATGACAGTGTGTAGTGTGCCTACTTACCAGGTGTAGAAGTATGAAACCGGAATTTCCCTATAGATGGTGCTAGCGGGTACCACTCGCGGGTGCCTTGCAGTAACATTGTTCTCACGTGAACGAAACTGCGTATACGCCACCTAGCGGCGCCTTTGCAGTACTATTGCCCAGTGTTCGGCAAGTAGTCGGTGTGCATAATTACGCACCCTTCGGTCTATGGTGTGGCCGGACAACGAGGTCCTTCAGGCATCCCGTTGCAATCTTAGCTATCACGATCGCCCGAGTATGGCTGAAAAATGACTCGTTATTTTAAGAATTATTTTGCGATCCTACGTATCGGCCAGATATCTCAATTTTCTGCACATTTTACAGGTTTCAAGATTATAAAATCATATTTTTCAGGAAAAATTGAAAAATAAAACTACATGTTGCAAGAAACTTACTGCATGTCATTTCTCGCCTATGACGTCACACAACCAATATACTAGCAGAGACAGTCGAGCCTTAATGGATTCACACAAATTTTTGTGTTAATTTGATACAAGGTGAATACGTTGAAAAATATTACGTCAGGTAAAAATTATATGAAAAATTAACACAAAATTAATATCCATGTTAATCGATATTGAAATATAAAATGTGTTATTTTAATACTTATACATGTTGAATATGAACTTGACATAAAATATGGAGATAATGTAAACATATGTTAAATTAACATACGGCTCTCACAGCATCGGACATTGCACTAAAGTTACAGGGACGTTACAACTTTATATAACACATCACTCAATAAGTCTCCGGTCTATGTAAGAAAAACAAATCTTTTTTTAGAAATTCGACTTTATTCGTCAACATACTCACCTTCAAGAGTGATACATTCATTCCAACGCTCCTCTAACTTTTCGATACCTTTTTTGTAGAACGATTTGTCTTTGCTCTCAAAATAGGCCTCAGTTTCGGCAATCACTTCTTCATTTGAGCCAAATTTCTTTCCCTGGAGCATCTTTTTGATGTCTGCAAAAAGCCAGTAGTCGCTGGAGGCCAGATCTGGGGAGTACAGTGGGTGAGGAAGCAATTCGAAGCGTAATTCATTCAATTTAACCATCGTTTTCATCGACTTGTGACACGGGGCATTGTCTTGGTGAAACAGCACTTTTTTCTTTTGCGCGTGAGGCTGTTTTTTCTTGATTTCTACACTCAATTGATCCAATAATGTCATGTAATATTCGCTATTGATAGTTTTACCTTTCTTTAGATAGTCAATGAACAAAATACCATCCCAAAATACGGATGCCATAACCTTACCAGCTGACTTTTGAGTTTTTGATCGCTTTGGAAGACTTTCACCGGCTGCTGTCCGCTCGGCTGGCGATCTTTTTAATTCAGGTGTGTAGTAGTGGATCCATGTTTCATTCATTGTCACATACCGACGCAAGAAATCCTTTTTATATCGCTTGAACAGCTACAAACAGCGCTCTGAATCATCGACGCGTTGTTGTTTTTGGTCCGGTGTGAGTAAACGCGGCACCCACTTCGAAAGCAACTTACGCATGTTCAAATTTTCCTGTAAAATTGTAAACACACTACCTTCTGATATCTTTAAGGTGTCAGCTATCTCACGCAACTTCACTTTACGGTCTTTCAAAACTATTTTGTGGACTTTTTTTATGTTTTCCGGAACAACTGCCGATTTTGGGCGACCAGAGCGTTCAGCATCATCGGTGTTTGTACGACCGCGTTTAAATTCAGCATACCAGTCAATAATAGTTGATTTCCCTGGTGCAGAGTCTCCATAACGCTTATCAAGCCAATGTTTGGCTTCAACAGTATTTTTCCCCATCAAAAAACAATGTTTAATCAACACACGAAATTCTTTTTTATCCATTGTTTTGAAAATTACAAAACTGGGGTTACTAAAACCACTGTAACCTGTAAACTAATTATCAGAATTTCATGAAATTTTGACACGTATCGTTTGAAGGATGCTACTATTCAGAAATCATATAGGTCTGTCAACAGTGTTGCCATATATGTGTCAGACCGGAGACTTATTGAGTGATGTGTTAGTTTAATTATAGCTTTTGCTCACAGAACGCGGCAAGGAGCGACGCGGCAGCCAATAAACTTTTAGTTCTCATGAAAAAACAAACAAAGTTGATTGGCTACTGCGCGAATTTCCGCCGCGCGGCAAGCGTTGCCACGTCCTTTGGGAAGAAGCCAAGAGGCTTAGAAGATTTCTGGTATGCATCCATAAACGTACAACTAGATTGCGTATGTAGTCGAAGAGTCGTCAAATATTAGAAAGAGATAGTTGCTGCACGGGTACCATTCTGTCTTCGTCTAATAATGCATAGAGTGGAGATTTTAGTCCCGCTATGAGGATTCTTTCCCCTACTACACGTCTTTAAAAAAAGACGAAGTTTAGATGAATATTTTCATGTTACTGGGAAGTTAATGGTAGGTTTATTAGTGTATGTGAAAATGTTACCATATTACTATTTAAGGTTACTGTAATCTTATTGAAACGTTGATGTGCTGTGGGGTGTGTTAAAAATTTAACAGAAAAATTTTAATAAAGACCGATTTTACCATAAATACAAAATGTTTTTACTAAGATTTACGTAGAAGCTTAAGACTATGACATTACTGTGACATTCAGTAAGTATCTCGAATATTTTAAAAATACATGTGATATACTTTTACAATATTCGTGGAGCATTCACAAAATCTATTTATGCTATGTGGGAAAAATATGTACATTTCTTCGATAAAATCTTAGAGCATATACTACTGGAGGGAGCGTGCCTTATGCTGCCCGTGTTATAATAGTGTGGTCAGGGTGCGAGAGAGAAAGGTAGATTAGAGATGACAGCTATCTCTCTCTTACTGAACGCTCATTGGTCGATTCCAACTCCCCACCTTTGAGAGATTGTAACGTATAAATGTATACGAAATAACAATATAAAACATCTATAAATAAATAATACATCCCTAATTATGAATTAAAAAGTAATTATAGTATCAAAACATTAAATTAAGACAGAACAAACATATGAACTTTTCTTTAAAGTCCAATCCTCAAAGTTATCTTTTATTGCATCGCACCATTTATTGTTAATAACTTCATCTGATGGAAATCTAAAGAAAAAAAATTATAAAAATCATTGATACCAGAACTGAAAACGAAAACGTTCACTTAACCTACACAACTTCATTTTTAATAGACTTACTTATGAAAACATAAATCCAAACAGTTAGGATCGTCTTGTCTCATACGACAATTTGGGATGCAACAAATTTTTGACATTATAATAATTTCAACCAAACAGCACTATTTACACATAATTAAATGTTCAAATATAATAAACGCGTCAAAATGATACAGACTAGCAGACGAGCTGACGAGTTGGACGGCAATTGAACTTTCGTATAGGCCTTTCTCCTTCTAAGCAAACAACCAATGAGCGTTCAGTAAGAGAGAGATAGCTGTCACCTCTAATCTACCTTTCTCTCTCGCACCCTGACCACACTTATCGAGACGTGCTACCTCCAGTAGTATATGCTCTAAGGATAAAATACGAACTGCATAAAAAGTTGCATTTGCACAATATGTCTTGTAGATTTTCAATAATTTGTTACAATCAAAAAATTTCGTATTGTATTATATATTTACGATGTTTTGTCTTCATATGAGCGTATGTACAAAGAGAAATGAAAAGACGCTCTCTCTCGTTTCTAATTATTGTCGAATTGTTTTACAAAGGTTTCAATTGCATTCTTTCCGCTGCCGTGAAAAATTTTCATGATATTTTAAGCACGTCGATTTTAAATGAACAATATACAATATCAACAACTATTATACACGAGCGTCAAAACCATATTTACTTGTCTTATTATAGAAGTTGCTTTACGGGTATGTATTTTATATCAATAAAATTTATTATAAATCAAAATACACGAATTGAATTAACTTAAATTGCTTTACGCGCGGCAATTAACTTTGTGTCCTCTATGCAGTGAAAACACACACACGAGAAATTCGACGTGCCATCTAGTGGTAAAAAGCATAGAGAGCAAAGCTAAAGTGAACAGACCTTAAATCGTATTGATGTGTGATGTGTACAAGTCTGTACAGATGCCGTTAGGCATATTGTTGATGAAATGGGTACAGAAAATAAATTGAACAACGAAGTTAGAAAACCAACGCATACTACAAATAAGTTCACGGCGTTGAAGCGTGATCAAAACACAGATAATCCTTGTTACCAGGTACATGATTTGTTCATACATAGTTATTGGATACTATTTATTGGAACTTTGCTATTTGATAAATGTGATACTTCTGCTAACACTTTTTATAATTTTACAAGGCGAAATAAACGCCAATAATAGGAGGAAAAATGGAGAATAGAAACATGAGAAAAGCATAAATAAAAAGGAATAGGGCTTTTACGATTTTACGGTAACTATGTTCTTTTTCAGGAGCAACTCTTGTCTCTAAAATGTCTTGATTTACACCAAGATAATCGCAATGAATGTAAAATATATTTTACCAATTACAACAACTGCAGCAAATTTTGGGTAATTTCTGTGTGATGTAAATATTTACATATGCATTCGAAAAGGGTCAAGAGGATATTTTTCTCTTCAGGCCACTGTATGGCGTGACCGCAAATTAAAAGATATTAAACCATATTTGCCACCTGTGGAGGAACGTGCAAAGATAAAGGCTGACTATCTAAATTTTAGATAATAATAGATACATATATAAAAGCCTTACTTTGTAAAAATATCTTTTATTCTATGTTACTTTAGATATATTTTAGATCTTTGGATATATCGCTGTCTCAATAATACACTGGAACATATTGTATATATAATGTAACAAAGCATTGTCTGAGAACTTATTACATCCATTCGAAAAAAAATTGACTGTGTTTACTAAATAAATGTTGCTTTCTGAGCTCTACCTGCAATTTATATTTATATTATAAATGTATTATATTTTACATATATTGAAGAGTATTTTTCAAGTTACTTTATATCTACAACTGTAACCAAAGATCTGTTTTCAAGTAACCACAGAACAAAAAAATTATTATCAATTATATTCCAATATTTAATTCCTTATCGGAAACATCCGTCGCAATTTATCGTACACAAATCATTCGAGATACTTGATAGTACGCAAATATCTCACTGACACGACATAGACTGACACAACACGCGCGCGCGCGCACATATACACACACCATCTTTCTATGATATACGTGTCATTAGCTCCCGCTTAAATGCGACTTGAGGTTCTTAAAAACAACTCGACGATTATAAAACGAGTATAAACGCGTGCGTAACAATTTATACAGGTTCCAATTATTGTCAAAGAAATGAAGAGAGAAAGAAGGAATGACAAAAATAAAATAGTTATTACGCTAATAATATATTAATAACGTCCGAGGGACGATACATGTTAAAAACGAAGAGGTGCATTTATAGCTTATCGCTCGACAAATTTTCGGCAGCGTTCAAAGAAAAAGTATTTGTACACACATAGTCCAATTTTAAATCAAATAAACACGATGAAAGCGCTTTAAATATCACTTAAAGATCCATATACAAGCGATCTCAGTACAAATATTATTTAAACATCTGTTCGTTTTAGTTGTGCTTCTTATATTTCACTTTACTAGTATCTGCAATTTAGACTTTTAGGTCCATATTAAAAATCGGATCTTATATCAAAGACTGAGTCTCGAGTTAATCTTCAGACGTTGTACAGCTCATTTCATTAGTTACGAAATATCTTAAGATGAACTTGAGACAATCATAAATATAAGATTCGACTATTAATGCGGACCCTTCTTATCCTTTGTTGATTCTCTACATATTGTTTTTTTTCTCTTTCTTTTACCTGAATATACATCTATTCATAAATGTACAGTAATGTAATAAATTATCGTCGTAAATTATGTATCAATATTACACTGCTCGAGAAATAATTAGAGAAATAATATAACCAAGTATAACTATAATTAATATATAATTAACATGTAATAATGTAAATAATTATCACATTTATATATAAGATAATTATATTAATTTCATACTTATATAATTAAAAGGAATTGTGCATATATA